GGGTGACTGTTCCTTTACCCTCGGGGTGTTTTGGTGGCTTCAGTTTGCTGTTAGGGCTGGAAACTCTGCTTTGCATCCTCTGCTTTTAATCCAAGCCGAGCAGTGGCGATGGAACGGCGTGTTTGGAATAATTCTGTGTTTTCTCAGTAGAACACGGAGCCACAGCCTTAACCTTCCCAGCAGTTCATGGCAGCTGCGGCTGAGTTATTTGATTAAAATATTATTTTTACCAGCTCCTTGAAAGTGCTGGAGCAATCTGATTTATCCCCATTGTCAGTGTGTGTTTGTTTGGGCTCTCAGGCAGAATGAACTCGCCTTTCATTTGGCACTAATGCCAAGGGAACTATTGTATTCCAGAATAATGGAGCATGATCTGCAGCAAAACACTTTGCTCGTGCAGTTGCATCTAATACACAATGGGAATCATTTGGTGGCTCAGGGTGTTCATCTGCTTCCTCTGGCACTGGGATTGCAGGTTCTGGAGCAGCCCCCAGTTCTGCCCAACCCCTGCAGGAGGTCAGTGTGCATTTCTGTGTAGGGGCTCTCTGTTTCCTCCCTCCCAACAGCTGAAGCAGCAAGGTTTTATTTCAATTAAGTTTCTTTCGCTCGGTCCTTAATGGCTCAAAGTTTTATTTTTTATTATTTTATATTATTTATATATATATATATAATTTTTAAAAATGAAAACTATTTTATTCCCTGAGGAATCATCTGACGTACTTTCTCTAATCTTCCGCAGCAGAGGTGCTGCACAAATGCTCCCCACTATACAGCCAGATTCCCCATTCTGCCCCTGAAAATCGTGTGCAGCACACAGGGGGTCCCACCTGGTCCTGCTGTGGGGCAGCCCCTGGCTGGGAGCTCCCTGCCCTGCCTGCAGGGGTGACTGCAGTGCCCCGGGGCATTTGGCCTCCAAAGTGGCTGGGAGGGGGCAGAGTGCATTTCCTGCACCACGGTGCAGGGCAGAGCAGCACTGTGTTCAGTGTCAGCCTCTGAAAGGGCAGCACAGGCGTGCCAGCCTCCCCTCCAGCCTTTCATCATTGTTTTTACATTTTCTTGTGCTGCCCATGATTACATTTCTGTCTTGCCAGAAGTCCTGCAGCACGGAGCCACAGGGACGGGAGGTGCCAGCTGGCTGGTGGCAGTGGGGCAGTGGGGCTGTCCCACATCTGGTGACATCTGCTCTCTTGGCTTGGTGCTGTGCAGGAATGAAGGTTGGACGTGGGAGAGGCAGAAAATTCTCCTGCAGCTGCAGCACAGGACAAAGCAGGATGGAGGCTGCAGCAGGTAAGAGGCAATGCTCCAGCCCACCTGGGAGCAGCCCCAGGCTGCAGGGGGAGAGATGCAATGAGGAAAGGCTGAACACAAACCGCAGGCTCGGAGCAGAATCAGTGCCAGGGCCACGCTGAGACAGCAGAGAGTGAAGTGCTGTTCAAAGAGGGTGAATATTCAGAAATGGAACACTGCTGTTCTCCTGCTCCAGAAAATGGTTATTGAATTTGTATTCTCCCTTACTTTGGTGTCCTGCAGAACAAGATGCAGCTTTTGTCCTGCCTCGAGGTGCAGCCTGTGCAATAACCCAGCCCAAGGCAGCCTTGGCCCAGTCCCAGTGTGAGCCTTGGAGCACTGGGAGCTGGGCACTGCAAGGTGTCAGGCTGGGGCAGGCAGCATTGATGGAGTTTTTAAAGTGATTGCAGGTGAATTTGGACTTACCTTAATCTATTTTTAAAAGGAAAAAAAACCAAAAACAAATAAAAAAACCAAAAACCCCCCCAAACAAACAAACAAAAAACCAAAACCTAACAAACAACAACCAAAAAAAAAAACAACAAAAAAAAAAAAAAAAAACAAAACCAAACAAAAAAAAAAAACAAAAAAAAAACCAAAAAAAAAAACCCCCCAAAAAAACCCAAAAAAACACCTGGGAACAAACTGGGAGCTGTTAGGGATGGCAAAGGCCACACTCAGGGCTATGAGCTTTTGTTGTATTGCTCAAGTTATATTAGAGCTTGGGTAACTCAACTGACTTTGTTAAAGCCACTAAAATAACAGTAGAACTGTTCCGTGGCAGGGATTAATTTTTGAAGCAGTAGAAGAGCATTTAGTTTCAATGAATGATGAAACTTGGCTGGATCAGACAAATGAAACAAGTGACCTCTATCTGGCAAGGTTATACTTGTGGCTGGACTTTCTTAAGCAGATCTGAAGTGCACAAAAATAGGGCTTGCATGTAAGAAGCACATTAAAATCTCATGAAGGGGTGCCAGCCCTTGCTCTGGGGCAGGAAGGGTTAAAGGGTGCTCAGGGGGTGAATGCTCTTTCAGGTCAGGTGCCCACAACTTTGATTCCTCGGTGACCAGATGTTCTCTGCTGGTCTGATTAAAATGTATTGTTTCATTTCAAACACATGATTTAAATTAGCTTAATGGCAATGCTCTAAGGGAAATGAATTTCTGCAGTCATTCTTTCAGGCACTGGACAAAACAAGTGCTGGCCTACGTTTTTTTGGAGAGGATGTGAGATTTCAATATTTGATACCTAAAAGTGCTGTCATAGGAATGACATGGAATAATTACCTGATGAAAATATGCTTAATTTAGAAAGAATGAAATTGCAGATTATTATCCACCCCTTTTGAAAATGTAAACTGGTTCTTCAAAAAGTAGGATTTTTTTCCTCCAGTGTGCTCTTGTATTGGTGATGTGAGACTTCTCATTTCCATCAGTAGCTGCTTTCCCCTGAAATTCTCAGAGCAGTGCAGGCCCTGGAGAGGAGGGAGCTGCTTTGTGTGTGTCAGGAGAACGAGGGACACGGAGGGACAGCGGGACAGGGCTGTGGGGACCTGCAGTTCAAGCTGCAGACATTAAAGGAACTGGGCTGGGACCAGCCAGGCAGAGGAGGGTGGAACTGAAATAAATTCTGGAGTGATGAAATTACTTTGGACAAGTTAATGAAAAAAAAAAGCTCAGATCCCACTGAGCCATTAAATGACTGAATTCCACATGGAAGCACCCATCTCCTCTGACAAGCCTTTGACAAAACTGTTTCTTTACTTTCACGGGGAATGATTCCTGACCTAAAGATTAAAGAGACTGAGGGGAGAAAGGGGCAGAACGAGTTATGGGCCCAAGAGACAGGAGAAAATACATTGGAAATGAACACTGAAGTGCTTGTGCATTCATTAAACCCAAGGGCAGCACTTGCAGATGTTTGGGTTGGTTAATACTGGGGCTAAATTGGTGGTAAACTATTTGCAGAAGAGACGGAAATATTTGTAAGTCTTCCAATATTCATTTTAATGTTTTTCTTTCACAATTAAGTCCTGATATGGTTATAGCAAACCTTCAAAGCAGCTGTCTGTGGCCAGGCTGGAGCTCGGGGGTTCTGGAGATGGAAACCCCAATGGTGAGCATCCCAAAAAATGGGAAACCTTAGCCCAGCACGAGTGTTCTTAGGGCAGGATGGTCAGGAAAGCAGAGAAGCTAACTCTGAAAATTGGAATGTGTATGCTTTAGGGCTAATTAAAATGAAATCCTTGTTCATAGGGCTGGGCTTTGTCACATGCCACCAAATCGTCCCCAGTTCTCGGGGGCTGTGCCAAGCAGGGGAACAGCATCGTGGTACCCATTGTGCAGGTCCACTACCCATGGATTCAATGGCAGAGCTAATTGCAAAATAAAATGCATGTAATTAGATTAATTAACAGTACATTTCAAGGTCCTGAAATACAGAAGTAGCCGTGGGGTGGATGCACAATGGAGGTTTCTCCCTGCAAACAGAACAAGTGTTATTTTTGGAGTGTAGCTGCAGCTCATCGAGGTGTGCTTTGCTTAAAGAGCTGCTTGGGTAGGAGTGGGGCTTTGAAGGGGAAGATAAATACTGTAATTAGGCTGCAGGACAACAAAAGGATTATTCCTACCTATAAAATCATTTGAGTGAAGTTGCTGCAAAGATAATTACACCCAAAACTGCTTGCATGGGTCTCATATTTTCCTTACAAGGACTTACAAGACTCATTGAATATTTATAGGGCTGGGACAGGCAAGTGGGTGGGATGTGAAACATAAATCCAGTCGTGGCTGATGATGAAGTCCCTGCAGTGCTGGGAGCCCTCGGGATTTGCTGGGTGTCCTGCTCAGAGCCCTGCCTGTCAGTGCTGCTCCTCAGCTGGGGCTGGTCCCCTCTTTCCTTCCTGCATCCCTTGCAGGAGGGTGTTTGTGCCTCTGCCATGGTTAGCACATGCAAATGAGCATGCTGCTCCCCAGATGCAGATTTCATATTTATAGATTAAATACAGCCTGAAAAATCATATGTTAATTACATTCTGAGGGTGTAGTGCAATTTCTCACTTGAACATATTTTGTTTTGCTGGGAAGAGCACAGATTCCAGATCAATATATTTATATTGAAGCCCAGTAATAAATATATCAGGCTGGAGAAAAAAGTTTCTAATCATTACTATTACTAATCACTGACCACCAGCTCAGTGCTTAGGCTTCTGTCCCACACTGTGGACTTATTTGCTTTTAAAACCTGCTTTTCTCAGTACTACTGGAAGGGCAGGGGGGATGGCTGAGGATCAAAGCCAGTCGAGCAGGGCATCAGAAATGAGCTGGCAGAGATCTCTGAGAGTTTTGAGGAACAGGGCACCTGAACCTGGCTCAGTTAGCTGGCAAAGTCCTTTTTTATCCCCTCCAGAGGTCCCCTGCTGTATGTGATGCTGGAAATTCAGGCTGCAGGAGCTCCTCCTGACATGTCTGCAGTGGCCAAGAGACCAGCAGGGCCCTGGGGCAGCAGAAGCCCCAGCTGGAGCTCACAGCTGCACCTCCAGGCCATGCACAGGACACTCAGCAATGTTCAGCACAAAGGTGCTCAGAAGGGAGTGCAGCACTCCTGGGATTTACCTCAGGCTGCTTTTGCCCTTGGGGATTGTTACTGAGCAGTGCAGAGCAGCCCCAGCACAGAACGAGGAGGGAAATGTGAGAAATCAATAGACAACATTCAAACTGCTTTCTTGTTTACTGCACCAGAACCTTGCAACACATCAAAAATAGAGAGCAAAGCTTAAAATGCACAGTGAAGTTCATTATGACAAAGAAAAGTCTGACACAACAGCCACTGAAATCACAGAAAACATTTCACAGGCTCTCCAGGCTCCAGGAGAACATTTCACAGGCTCTTCTAGGCTCAAGACCATACAAACCAAAAAGGTGCCTAAGAACAAGTAGTTATAAATACGCCCCTCTTTTTTTCTTTTTTTTCTGTAGATGCAAGTCCTTGGATGCCCAGTCACAGACTCAAAGGTGTGTCCATAATCCCTGGGCTGCCAGGAATGATGAGTGGGGACTTTCAGCAGAGATCAGTCTCACTTTCAGACAAGGCTGCTGCATTCTATAGAAATACATCCTGAGAAGTAACAAATAAGAACAAACAGTAAATTGAAAATACCTCCACCCCCCATCCCTTTTTGTAGGTCTCATAAATCTTTTAATAAATAAGTAAATCACAGGGGGACCAAAGGAACTGGCAAACCAAGAGGTAGTTGATGTAACAGAGCATCTCTGGCACAGCCTGGCACCTGGGCCAACCTCCTGCCCTGGTGCCAGGGGCAGGAATGCAGGCTCAGGGGAGCTGGGCCGTGCTCTGCAGGGCTCAGGGGCAGCACAGATCACCCTGTGCTCCTCCCCCGGCCCAGCAGCAGCACTGCTCACTGCTTGTGATGCTCCTGCTGCCCCCGGGCAGGCTGCAGGAAGCTCTGCTGCCATCATTTGTCCCTCTGGCTTTAGCCCAGCGTGTGCTGTGCACCTGGATGTGCTCAGAGGGTGGCAGTGGGAAGGGAGCTGCTGCTGCTGCTGCAGGGGTGGGACGCAGCAGGCAGGAGGTTTCCTGAGAGCTCTGTGTGCCAGGAGTGCCCTGCCCTGGCCGGCATCACAGCAGCAAACACCGGGCAGCTGCTCCGGGCTCAGCTGGACAGCCAGCAGGGCTGCAGCAGCTGGGAGCTGTTTGTGGAACCAGGACTGCAAGGTCTGACTGCTCTCCCACAGGAACCCAAGAGGAACCCAAAGCTAATCACATTTCCACCGTGAAAGTGCTCCCCTGGCTCCCCGCTGCAGCCTGCCACGTCACTGGAGTCTCTGCACGAGGTTCTGGTAGGTTTTCCTTTCACCTTCCCAGGAGTGGTGCTTCTTCACGTAGTCTTTGGCCCTTGTTACAATCTCCTTTTCCATAATGGGGTCATTCATTAAACTCTTGGACAGTGCAATAAATTCCTAAAAAAGATGAAGAAAAGAATAAATTAAAATGTCTTTGTAGATGTCCTAATGATACTGGAAAAGGTGGTACCTGTCCGACTGTGAGCCAATAGATGAAGCTGTCCTAAGTAATTTTTCAAGGTCAAGTACCATATTTTATTTATAAATATTTATTAATAAATAGTAATTTTATTATTTCACACAGCCCACCAACTAAGCATTAAAAATCAAAGATAATTCACATTTAATGACACAAAAATTGTCTGCCTACCACTGGTTGGAAAGGTTGGAAACCCAGGTTATAAATGAATTGCCTGTTCTGCATGGAGGACACCTGGCATCAGATGTTTGATCTCAGCTCAGCCAAACTTTTACCTCATTGCTACTGCAACAGCTTCAGTGAATTTTATGGCAGGGCTAAGAAAGTCCCAACACAAACACAGTGTAAGGACAGGAGCAGGCGTGCAGCACCTGGGCACACACAGATTCAGCAGGGTTAGCTCAACAAACACCAAAAAAACCCCATATATTCCCTTTACCTTCACTGAGCAAAATACCAGAGCTCAAAGATCACAACTGTCCTCTGCCTGCTCCTCTGCCTCTCTCATTTACTTCTAGGCAGGAGAAACTGAACTTCAAACATGTGAAAGGAGATCTGATGTCTGAACTAATCTGTTCTGAGCAGCTGGTCTAATTTTCCATCCAGAGACAACTTCCAGAGCTGCAGCTTGATTACAAACTGCTCAGATGTGTGCAAAGCAGTGCCTTGGTTCAGCTCAGAAATGCAGACAGCCCTGGTGGCAGTGGGAAATGAAGATAATGTATTCCTGCACAATTGGTAGTGAAGATCAGTGCACAGGGACAGGGGGACAAAAAGGATGGGAGGAGGAGAGCCATTATTTCCACAGGCTGGCAGCTGAGCAGGAGATAGCCCAGCTAGGACCAGAGTTCATATCCACATTAGGTTAAGGAGACAACTATCCTTGAAAACCTGAGTACACAGAATGTCTCAGTACCTCCACAGCTGTACAATCGTGGGTTGAACTTTGGATTTTTTGGGTGAACTTTGCTCTTGCAGCGCACAATGCACAATGCAAGTGGCCCCTGGGCCACCCTGATGGGGAGATCACTGAGCAGGGGATCCTCACTGCTTGACAGCACAGAGCAGCAGGGAAATGAAACACCCCGAGACACAGATCACTTCTGTGCAGAGCTCTGTGCCAGCTGAGAGAATGAGGAGGTTTTCCTGCACTCAGGTGAAGAATAACCCCTATTCTGCAGCAGAGCAGTGCTGGCTCTGAGCTGAGCTCCGTGTCCAGCCTGCTGCCACCCCTGCCTGCTGTGCCCGAGCTGGGATTCCAGCCCCTTCCTTGGGAGCTGCCCCAGCCCACGCCCAGGGAAGGGGGGAAATCACCTGCCTTCTGCTGCCCTCATCCACTTGCAGGGGAAATCACAGCAACAAACACTGCTCACACTCACCCACATCCCCCAACTTTAATTTTATGCTCCTGTGGAGGATTTTATTTAAAGTAATGTTTAAAAGTAATTTATGTAAATTACCTAAGAGCAGAAGCAGCAATGTAACATTTCTTGACAGGTAGTCCTATTAGCATTCTTTTAAATTGTGGATGTGGAGGACAAAAACTTGGAAACATGTAAATGATAGAAGAAATGAGATCCTTATTCACAGTTACAATACTTAGAGCTGAGGATAATCTCAGGAAAAAATGCCAAACTGAGTCCAAAGCACAAAATTGGAGAAAATGCAGGAGAGAGAAAAAGCAAATGGAAAAATACCAGGAAGTGGCGAGTGAGGACTCCTGAGCTTTACCCTCCTCCTCCTCCCCAGCCAGTGACCACCCCCAGGTCACCTGCAGTCCCTCTGGAAGCCAGGGGAAGATTCACTGTGACTTATCTGGGTTCTGCCTCGTGGCCTCGGAGCAGCTGGCTTAGCTTGTTTGCAGGTTTGGATGGCCAGCTTAGACAGCAATAATTTCATTTTCCAGGTGTCTCCCCTAACCACAAGTGACTCGCATTTCAGTGCTGGCTTTGTGCTGGACCTGCAGCGTGCACACACCCAGAACTCTCAACCCCCTCAGGAACTCCAGCAAAATTCCATTTCACTTTACCAGAAGCCTGTGACACGTGAAGAAATTCCAGGGAGGCAACAGGACTCCAGCAGCTGTTCTGCTGTGTCTGTGCAAGTGATGTTTGCACAAATATTTGTGCACTCCCATATTTCATTGTAGCTTCAGTTTTGGTGAAAGAGGGGTCAAATTCACAAATTGCCTTTCAGTTATAAAAACCTAAGGGATGACTTCCAGCAGCCCAAATGAAGGAGGTGATCTATAAGCTGCCTTACTACGTGGGGCCATCCATACTTCTAACAAACCTTTTTTCCCTCACAAGAGTGGGTAGATTTAATTTACAGGTGGCAGCAGAGCACGGTGTACAGGCTGAGGCTCAGCAGTAAGTCACAACCCAGAAAAACGGGAGCAAATCATCTCCTGTGTGTCCAGAAGCACTCTCACATCTGCCCTTTTCATGGGAAGTGCTCCACCACAAACAGGCATTTTTCAACAGCAACATCCATAATACAGTTTTCTCCTGGTAAATTGACCAATCATCCCTAAAGAAAATGTCAACTCCTCTGTGTAGTACCTAAAATAAATCCTGTCCAGTATTTTGCAGAGACACAGAAGCACAGGTATCCAGGAGATAAAGCTGGAAAATGAGTGCACTGAGTAAAAAAGGATGAATAATTCCTCAATTACCACGAGAGCTGCACTGGTGCCGCAGCTCACACATAATGAAAATAAGATGCATGGTTAATATATTATTTATATCACGAAAGCAAGCCTGCAATGAAGCCAGTTCAGAGCAGCTCCAGCAGGCAGAAGAAGGTGGCTGAGGTGGCTCTGAGCCAGCGCTGAGCCCAGGGAGGCAGAGGCCAGGAGTGCAGCATGCCAGGGGTCCCGGGGGCAGCCGGAGCCCTGGGTGCCCCCAGGCTGGGGCTGTGAGCTGGGTGCTGGCACTGCCCCAGCTCACAACTGCTGCCCTGGGGAAGGGGCACAGCCCTGCAGCCCTGGGCTCTTTCCTGGCTGGCACAGGAAGGCTCTGGGGCCACAGCTGAGCTGCTCCAGCTGGGCTGGGCACCCCTCCCACCCCCCAAATCCTCACAGGGGCTGCCCAGGTCAGCTCCATCCACCTCTGTCCCTTCTTACTGCCTTGGAAATTTATTTGCCTCCTTGTCTTTATTTAGGTCCTTCTGTGAGATTTTACAGACATGGAAGATGTCATTTTGAAACCCAGCCTGCTGAGTAACTTTTTGTGTCTTCCCTTTAACACAGTTTTGCATTATTTATTGCCCCGTTCTTATCTCTTACTTTTTTTTTACTTCAGGTCCCATTAACTCGGTGTCAAATATTCCATAAACTTGCAAATTCAAGCAGCAGCAGGATCAACCCATGATTTAAAAGTGATGTGCACAGTAATGGGCACAAATGATGGAGTGTGAGGAACAAAACGTTCCAGGCTTTCCCTCCCAGATTAACTATTTCCATCTGAGTGCTGGCTCCAGTGCCTGGCAAGGCTTTTGCTGCTTCCAGCCAAATGCAAATGGTTAAGGGTGGCTACAACGAGACACAACATTTCCTACTTTCCTGGAAGCCACAGAAGCTCACTTGCAGCAAGCAGAAAGCCAGCAGCACTCACCATTTAGAACAATTCTCGTTGCACAATGGTCAGTTAATATCCCTCTGACCTGGCTTTCAAAAGGCAGCAGGCACACTGCTCCTATCCAAGGCACTGCAGAGCTTTCCCCCTCACTCAGAAACCACTGAGAAGGAGCAATGCTTCCTGCTCCTGAGCTGTGCTCCAGCCTGGATCCTCACACACACAGGATCCACCAACTCAGCAAGGAAAATTCCTTTTCTAATCCACCAAACTGTCTCATCTTTGGTGGTCCAGATTCTGCCGGCCAGAGCCAGACTCTCCCAAGCACCTAGACACAGTTCTACTCTTTTTGTAGATTAAAGGCATTTTCCTCACTAATGTGCATCTGAGGGCACAGCAGAAAAGATACTTAAGATGTCAAAGTAATCAAAGACCCCAAAGAATTTCTTACCAGAATATGCTTTCCAGTCCCAGCTCACTCAGACCAATCTTCTGAGGTCACATTCTAAGAGCCATGGGCACTGTCCCTTGTCCCAGCAATTAAAATGCCTTCAAACTTAATTGCATTTCTTTGATCTAATGTGACTCCCAACCTCTGTCAGACTGCGTGCAGTGACTTCAAAGCTGCATTTGGTATGGTTTGGGGAGATGAGGAGCAGGAGGAAGTGGTTCCTTCATCTCCAAAGCCCTGAGTGCTGAGGTTTGGCATTCTGAGCTCCTCTGCACGAGCAGAGTTCTTCCACAGCTCTGCAGGGGGATGAGGACATGGAAACAAGGCTTTTCTGACCAGGTGCAGCCTCTGAGAGATGCTCCAAGTGCCAGCAATAAATGATCCCAGGGCTTTCAGTAACTGAGCTCCAGCTGCTGCTCTGCAGAGCAGGGGGAAGTCGCCTTCCCCTCTCGGGGTGCTGCACAAACTCTGCTGATGCCAGGACAAACCTTTCCTGCAATCTCACCTCAGAGATGCCGAGGCAGAATAAAGCAGAAAGGGGCAGCAGCAGGGGGACGGGGGTCTGATCTCTGGCACAGTGCAGAGCAGGGAGCTCAGGCAAAAAGGACTTCACAGAAATTAAAATTACAGTGGTTTAGGCATGCTGACAGCCTGTGACTCCAGCTCTGCTGCAAAGAGAATCCTCCAGCCCTCAGCCCTTTGCCCAGAGCCCCCAGTGGATCTCAAATCCCAAATAAACACCTTGTGGGATGCTTGCAGACCACAGGAGAGGCTCCTTACAGGGATGTCTGATGGTAACTGGGTCTGGTATTAAAAATGAATCTGAATTCCAAGCCAGTGCAGGCAGGCTGCTGGGGAAAACAACAGAATGTAGCAGCATTAACACCAGGAGAGCTCCCAGCCCCTCCTTCAGTAGGGTTGTGTGCCCTGGGAGTTTTGGAGGAGTTGGAAGTCAATGAGATTTTTTTCAAGGAATACATGTACACAAATTATCAAATAAATACTTTGGGTTTTGTAGAAACCACTGGAAAAAACAGAATATTCCAGATTATACTTGAATTGGAAGAGTTTTTCTACTAAAAACTCTTTCAAAACCAACCAAGAGGATTCACCTTCCAGAAACACAACTTAATAGGATTCATTAATCACACAGTCCACAATGTAAATAAATATGTTCTCTACTTTGCAAAATTATCAAATGCTCTATTCTAGTATGTGTTTTTTAATCTTGAGTTGGATAAAAATCTGAGGGAATCTTTTTCTGAAAATCATTTTCCATGGCATACATGAATATGTAACAGCAAAGCCCTAATGCAGGAAAATATGCTGAAATGAAAATTTTCAGTATTTAAATATGGGCAGTGTTCCCTCTCTTCCCACTCTTATTTAACTTCCCTGAGACTTCATCCTAACACTTCACTTAATTTTATCATTAATTTCTCTGACTGAGCAATATCTTGCATCTAAAAATACTTTCCATTAACACTGCTAGAAATGACAGCAGATGTGTCACCTGAAACTCGAGGCTGGTTCTCGTGCTGAGCTCCAGCTTGTCTGACACACGTTCCTGCTGCAGGGATGACCTGGAGGGAAATGTGACACCTGCAGAGCATCTCCTGCAGGGTTTGCTTCTGGAACCTTCAGGCCCCAGTGCAGCTGTGAGCAGCTCCCAAAAGCTTCTGCAAGGCTGACACCTAGTCCGAGCTCCCTGAACTGCAAACGCAGGGAAAGGAGAACCCGAGCAAAACTGCTGGCAGGAAACGCCAAGGCTGCACACAGACATGGAGAATGAACCCAAACTCTGTGCGCTTCTCACCTGGGGAGTTGAAAACAGCAGGCCTGTTTCCTTGTGTTTTATTAGTGCTGCATTCCCAGGAATGTTCCTTGCCAGCACTGGGATTTCTAAATCCATTGCCTAGAGGAATAGAGGAACAACATTTTATAAGGATCCATGGATTTCGAGGCGCTAATGATGACAATTTTAATAAGAAAAGCAGAAACAACAACCCAAACTTCCTTCCCACCTCTCCAGATTTTTAATTGAAAAATGCCACTCCCCAGAGAGCCCTGCCAAGGCACTGCACAGGACACAGCTGCAGCTCTGAGTGAGCAAACCCCGAGCAAACCCCGAGCCAACCCCGAGCAAACCCCGAGCAAACCCTGAGCAAACCCTGAGCAAACCCTGAGCAAACCCCGAGCAAACCCCGAGCAAACCCTGAGCAAACCCTGAGCAAACCCCGAGCAAACCCCGAGCAAACCCCGAGCAAACCCTGAACAAACCCCGAGCCAACCCCGAGCAAACCCTGAGCAAACCCCGAGCAAACCCTGAGCAAACCCTGAGCAAACCCCGAGCTCTGCTGCTCACACCTGTCCTGACCTGGGGCTTTCATCACTGCTGGGGAGTCTGGAGATGCACTGAGTGTACAACCAGAAACACTCACACTGTGCAATTATCACAGTGTCAAATATTTGAGAAATAAATTCCCTGCCCCACATCTCCACTCTGTTTCATCCTGACTCCCTGTCACTCCAGTCAGTGCATTTTTAACATTGCAGTCCTGCATGAGGAGCAATTTTGCTTCAGTCCACACAGCAAGGAAACAAAATTCCAAGGAGAAAACCATCTTTTATAGCTTGGACAAAACTGAAGAGACAAATGCCCAGGCTGATAAGGTACAGAAAGGGACTGCTGGGACTTAGCAACATATTTTAATAATTTAAAATACCCAAGAAAAGCACTGTTTAAATCACCACTGCAGGTGTATTAGTCTGACCATAACATTTCCATAGCCCTGGCACAAACATCTGCTTTGCAGCAGTTAGTGCTAAAAATAAAGCCCTTAATGACAAAACCTGTTCTGCACTTTGTATCAGAAAGGACCAGATGATCTGGGGTCATTCACACACATTAATGAAGCTACAGAGCTGCTGACTGATTGAAGCTGAGCACCAAGTTTATATTTAATTCTCTGCCATTTCCAAACGCTAAAGGGAAAGACATTTGTTCTGTCTGAGACTTGGAGGGCAGGAACTGCTACACCAGGAAATCTTCAGGTCCCCACAGGCACAGGTACCAATGAATTATAGCTACTGAAAGCCAGAACAGATGGCCAAACACTTCAGATGCAGGGCTGCCTTTATGCCACTGGCCTCAACCAAATGGATTGGGCTGTAAATAATTACTGCAAGAAGTGGCTTCAAATTTAATTTAGATACTTAGACTGCTTTCAAGCAGTAAAAATTATCATTTGCATTGTTGAAAATATGTATAATTCACTGACCTAGGTTCCAGGAATAATAGCACAAAACAGCATTTGAGTCCACTGGCCATCTGTTTGGTTACATTATTTTGACTGCAAATGTGTTTAGCTGCTCTTGCAGGAGGATGCAGGGTGTAAATTGAAGCTGTGGGGACGTTTCCCAATAAGCATCTCCACGCAGCACTACAGGCTGAGAGAGCAAATGCAGGGTTTATTTACCACTCTGTCTTCTGCATTGTCCCTCCTCTTCTTCCTTCTAGCCTAGGCATCTTCCTGTTGGCTCTTCAGTTTTACTGCTTTAACACATCCCTTCACCTCTAGTTTTTTGGTTTTTTTTATAATTTGCTCTGAGTTTTACTCCAGACTGCTAGTGCTGTACATATTGGCCAAGATTGGATTGTGCCTCACAGCACAGTAGAGTCTATCCAACTTCCTTTTCTGCCATTTTTTTGGTAAATTGGCTTCTCCTTGGTAAAAGCATAAGAATGTAATGATTTTTACAACAGCTGGAACATTCCTGAGAGCACAGAGTGAGCTCCAGTGAAAGGTGCTGGATCCCAGCCCTGTTGTTGGAGGGACAGAGGGAACACAGGAACCTTTCAGTGGTGCCTTCCCACCACCCCGTGCCCAGGAACGTGCACAGCTCCCGAGGAGGAGATGCATTTTTAATGTCTGCTCCAATGCTTTGTTTTCTCTTCTTCAAATGCCAAACACAAACAGATCAGTTACAGTCAGATCTCCGAGATCTCAGAACCAGCTGACAGAGTAATTAGTGATGGCTCCTGGCTCTTCCATACCTCCAGGCAGGTTGGACAAGATGGGATTATATATTTATCTCATTTATCTATTATATATTTATCTCGCTCTGAAATCCTGTTTACAGATTCATGACCTTGTTAAATACTGAACTTTGAGGACAATGAGAGTTGCATTTCCAAACTCAAGCCTGTTTTCTCCAGCCTAGGACCAGGGGATTTTTATGCAGAGTTTTCAGCCTTATTTTTGAACAAGATCTCAGCAGATGGCCCTTCCTGCTGCTGGCCAGCCCAGGAAAGAACTTCACTGACAGAGCTTCACTGCCCAGGACTGCCACTCTGTGAGACAGAGGTGTTCTCAGACTCTCAGATGAGTGGAAACGCTGGAAATGCAACTCATTAGAAACAGAAATGGAGGCTCATTAACACAAATGGTGTAATCATTTCTGTGATCTTCTGAGCTCCTGATGAACCAACATTCAGCACCCACCAAAACAAATGGAGCAATGAAAGGCATTTCCCCAAAGAACTTCCACTTCAAGTACACTTATTTTTTTCTGAGAAAGCACTTGATACTAAGCAGTGCCCTACTTTGGCAGGTATAAAATAAAACCGGTTATTAATTTTCAATACTGATGGCAAAAGGATTAACTCAGCGTGTCATTCATTCATTAATCATTTCAGAATTAAATAACCAAATGCTGCTCTTAGATTGCTTTTTGAAAGGATGTAAAAATAAATGAAAGCTCATTCTAGCAACATTATAAGGAAGTGGGTGTTGAATCAAGCCTGGTGACAACCTCAGTAAATCAGAATGATTTCTACATCTCAGATCGGTGTTGTTAATTTGGCAGGATTGACAAAATTACCTTCTATCCTTTAAAAACTGAGAAAGCATAACAAACTGTCAGTTCAAGGGAAGGAAACCTTAATTGCTAACACTCGAATAAAAGAAATACTTTCGTTTTCTCTTCACCAGGTTTGAAACACGGCCAGCAAAGGCTGGCAGGGGGTGGCTGCAGACGGGCAGGCTCTGGTGCCAGGATGGGCAGTACCTCCAGGATGGCAGCAGACATGCCCTCGGACACGGAGCTGTTGAGCACGGCCAGGCTCCTCCTGAGAGCAGCGTGCAGCTCCTGCTGGGGCAGCTCCTGCAGCACGTGCACCCCGGGGAACCTGCGAGCAAACACAGCCAGGGAGAGCACCCGAGGGACCCCCAACCCCAGCACCCCCGGATCCTCCCAACAGGCTGCCAGAGCCCTTGGGCGTTCCATCCCTGCTTGTGCTGGATTGTAAAAGGGTTTAAAGTCATGGGGATTTACGGTTAAAAGGAAAATTAAGCTTAGTGGGCCCTGAAAGAAAAAATAAATACCCGTGGTACATGAAGGCTTGTACCTTGCTAGAACTGCACCTGTGTAGCCAGTGCATGATGAATGATATAATTGTTAGATGTGATGATTGTTTAGTAATTCAATATAATTACTGTTTAATCATAAGAATAATCATGAGAAACTGTGGTCAGGGGCTTGAGAGAGATCACGAGAGATTCGTGCTTGAATAAGATCAATGTATACAATAGAACAATATAAGTTTAATAATTAATATGTAAGTTATATAAGGACAGAATATAAAATATGCTCAGCTCGAGAGCCATGTTGGAGTCAGATTTGGGGCTGTACCCCTGATCCCAGAGCTCCCAATAAAAGCAGCTGCAGATAATGATATCCCGTGGTTATGTGTGCTCCTGAACACCAACGTGCTCAGCCTGGACGGGGCTCGGGGCTGGCCCTGCCCGTGGCTGGGAGGGTGGAACTGGGTGATCCTTCAGCCCTGCCGTGCTTCTGTGAATAATAAATCTAAATCAGGGTCAGTAAGATGGGATTTAACCCAAAACACCAACACCCTGGTTATTCTGGGACGCTCAGCGTGGGATAGCTGAGACTGTTCCATGATCCCAGCAGAGCTGTCAGTGCCACAGGGCTGTGCCTGGACAGGCATTTGCATATACAGCATTTAAAAAGGGGCAGCAGACAGCAGCTTTAACATGAACTTCTTACCTTTTAACTCTCTCCTTAACTTCACTGGCAAAAAGTGGATCAACCTAGACGGGAGCACACACAGAGGTCAGTGGCACTGAGCATTCAGCACTGCAGCTCATGTCTGACACACCCAGAGAAAGAAACAAAGTTTAGCACATTTTTAATCTAAAATACTTTAAATGCTGAGATTTAAAATCATAAAATCATCATTGACAGGTCTGTGTCAAAGGCCTGGTGTGACAATTGCTGTGTAAGTGAGGGGCAGGGCACTGATGTGCCCAGGGACTGTCCCTGCATTCCCTGAGTGAAAATGGGCCTCAGGGAGCTCAGGATGTAAACTGAGACACTCACATAAATGTGGTGCTCTGGCAGAAAGAGATGTTGGAAACCTAATAAACACAAAATTCTAACCCCCAGTAAATAAGAGACACAAAAGTCTAACCCCCAGAGAATAATAAACACCAAATTCCCAACCTCAGTACAAAACAAATACAAAATTCCCAGCCCCAGTAAAAAACAAACACAAAATTCCCAGCCCCAGTAAAAAGCAAACACCAAATTCCCAGCCCCAGTAAATAATAAATACAAAATTCCCAGCCCCAGTAAAAAGCAAACACAAAATTCCCAGCCCCAGTCAAACAAGCTGCAGTTGTTGAAGGCCTGTCTAAGCTGGGTGATTCACTGCAGCAGATTTATTTACAAAGCTTTGCTCTGTCTGCTGCTTTAATTTAGCACGATTAAAGGAAATAAACAGAACTTGAAAATCCTTAGCCAGACACAAAGAACAGAACTCAGCTTTTTTACTAAGGCTCACTGACTAGATTAGATTGATACATGATAGCTTGCTGGGAATAACATGACTTTTTAATGTATATTAATATTTTGGGTTTGGTTGCTGGTTTTTGTTTCAGTTTCTGAGATAGAGAACATTCACAAAGTGTTTTAGAAAACACTTCTGGTAAAAAGTCAGGATTTATTTTATTTTATGCTTCTATGCTTTGAACATAAAATTGATTATTATATGAAAACTGGGCTTCATAAATGAAAAATTAAAGTGAATCACTCTTGCACTAAGGAATCAATTCCTACTGAATACAAACTAAAAGCCTTGCTTAACTGCTTAAAAAAGTATTTTTGCTATTTCAAACTGAATTTCCCAACTGCTATTTCTACATAAATACATTTTCAGCCTTTCCCCCAAAGTTCTGTTTTGATGCTGAGCTCCTCTCATGAGGAGCCACCCTCTGCTTCCATTGAACCCTTGGAGTTGTTGCAAGTGATTGAATGAGCAGGGGGAAAGGTCTTGTGTTCTTTCCCTTTAGGAGGATCAGAAGAACTACAGCCCGTGACTGCTAAAATCTGAGATGTTAATTCCTGTCCCCTCTTCAGTGGCAGCCAGGCAGGCACCAGGAGCCTGGAGCTGGACCCTGCTGGGGAAAACCCCAGGAATCCTGGCCTGAGGTGAGAATTCAGCCCAGACATTGCTGAGGGTGGGCACAGCAGTGCCTTGGGCTGCCCCAGCCTGGCTCAACCCTGGCAATGCCAGGAGCTGGGAGGGCACTGGGACCATGGGAGAGCTCCCAGAGCCCCTGAGGCTGGCTGAGGGACTGAGCATGGGCACCTAAAAACATCCTGAGAGCAGCACTCTGCCACCCAGATACCAAAGACCATCCTGAGAGCAGCACTCTGCCACCCAGATACCAAAGACCATCCTGAGAGCAGCATTCTGATAACCAAAACCATCCTGAGAGCAGCATTCTGACAACCAAAACCATCCTGAGAGCAGCATTCTGATAACCAAAACCATCCTGAGAGCAGCATTCTGACAACCAAAACCTTCCTGAGAGCAGCATTCTGCCATCCACACACCCAAACACATCCTGAGAGCAGCATTCTGCCATCCACACACCCAAACACATCCTGAGAGCAGCTTTTTGCCATCCAGGCACCCAAAAACATCCTGAAAACAACGTTCTGCCACCCCAAACATCTCCAGCATCCACTTCTTCCACAGGCAGCATTTGTGACCACATGAACGTTGTTACTTCTCAGCACAGAGGCCAAATGCACTCACCAGCTCCCCATCATTTGTTAAAGCATCCCAGCTCCCTGTAATTCATCTGGTAAAACATCCCAGCTCCCTGTAATTCATCTGGTAAAACATCCCAGCTCCCTGTAATTCATCTGGTAAAACATCCTAGCTCCCTGTAATTCATCTGGTAAAACATCCCAGCTCCCTGTAATTCATCTGGTAAAACATCCCAGCTCCCTGTAATTCATTTGTTAAAGCATCCCAGCTCCCTGTAATTATTTGTTGAAGCCCAGCCCTGCCAGGGCTGCACATTTCTCAGTCTGGCAGAGATCAGAGGACAGCAGCTCGAGCTGTGGGACAGTTCCTGTCACAGGAGAAGGGGTGACACGAGGAAAGGGCTGTGGCACCCCCAGGCAGGTCCAGATGTGCCATGCAGGGAGTTTTGTTCTGCTGACAGCAAAAGGAACATCCCAGGCGTGTTGGACAGTGCAGGAACTCACAGATCAAATGCTGCACCAGAGGAAGGGGCCTGCTGGCACAGAGCCCACCGTGATCAAAACCCAGCAAATCTTCTGTAAACACAACATTCAAATGCTGCCATATAAATATGAACTCAGACTGAAACATTTTATAGTGCTGAGACTCCAGACTTTGCAGGGGAAAACAGGTCTCAGTACATTTGGGATTCTGTCAGAGCATCACTGCTTGAGGAATCTGCAGAGTTACTCAAAGTGGAGAGGGAGAACTTCCTCAGTTTCCCAGGTTTCTGAGCTTTTGGCAGCACCACTGGGAAAGGAATTCCCTTCATTCCCAGCAGCAGGTGACCCCACATTCCAGGGATGGAGCAATGTTCTGTACTGCCTAAAAAAACCCCAAAAAAGCTCTGAGAGGTTACCCAGGAGATGAATGCTTTAAATAAAACTTTAAAGTTTTGTGGCCTTAACTTCTTTTTTTAAGTTTCATAAGCTCCTATTATTGGAGTATGGAGCTGCTGAAAATTAGCTGCTGTTCCAAATTTCATTATAGAAATGAACAAAAGGAAAACTGGAAGTGGAGACAAATGGTGAAAATTTTACATAACACAGGCCTCAATCCTGCAACATTACCTCGATTGCACCATTTGAGACAATCATGCATAGAAAATCCAGGGAATAGTATATAATCTTATGGCAGCAAATATATCATCTCATGGAAGTAAAGCAGAAAATAGAGTGGGCCTTTGTTCTTTCTCTTCTTAATTAATATAATCTTACTGTATGAGTTTTTAATATTCACAATAAAAATTACATGCTTCATAGATGGTGGCACTGATTTTCTTAAGATTTTTGTGGTTTGAGAAGCAACATGAATAAGAAGAGTACAGCTAAATACCAATAGAGATGAGATGTATTTTTTTTCTTTAGCAATATTTTAGTTCCATGAGAGAAATATGCTCAAAAGTGTTTTAAGGAGGTTCAGCCCTTGATCCAGCCTGTGCACTGCCACTGGGTTATTTCTGGCCTGTAAAGACATTAGCTTATGAGAAAGTGAAGCAAATTTAAAAAGACAACTAAAATGTTTATAAAATCCTCACTGGAGGCAGCAAGTGCATCTTTGGATTCTAAAGCACAGCTTCATTACACCTGCTCTAGATTTGCCTTCCACACCAGTTCACTTCCAAATCATTTTGTGTATTAGCGTGGAAAAAGCCCAGATGAAATAAAAACATAAAAACAGCTTTTAACAATAAGATCCTATGTCCCCAAATTTGCAAAGAATAAAACTGAATGAGAAAACAGAGAAATTGTTCTTATTTGCCTATTGAGAGTGTATTTGGTTTTTTTATAAAGCAAATTGCCTGCAAGTTTTCAGGCCTGACGTGGAGAGGGATCAGAGATGAGGCTGAGCAGAGGGAACACATCAGGCAGATGGAGCAGGGAAGCTTTCAGTGCCCTTCAAGCAGCAGTGAGAGCTTGTTTCACCTGCCACAGCTCCTTCTCCCAGCTGGAGCCAAGGCTTCAGGCTGCCTTTGCAAGCCCTGTGCTGCAGGAGCTCCGTGGAGAACACCAATTTCCTTCTCTAAAGCCCTGCAATTGTAACTTTAGCATAAAGGCAGCACACAGAAGCAAAGAATCAGGACAGAGGTACCAACTTTAGGGTTGTTCTGAGATGGGGGTGTATTAAAAAACCTGTTTCTGGCAGGCTTTAGTGCTCTGAGATGCTCGTGGAAGAGGAGCTGGGTTTGTGAGCTCCAGCCCTGTCCTTGCTGCTGCTGTCAGACAGAACCTGCCCATGGTTGTGCCCCTGCTGTTAATTGTGCAGGAAGCCAGAAATGGCACCAGCCCAGATGGGAGGGGACCAGCCCAGGCTCCACGTGAACAAGAAGGGAGAACAGGGATAACAAAATCCTCCCAGATGGTGACTGCTGCCTCTCAAAACTTGTGACTGCCTCATCTCTAAGTTATTCCCATTGAAATGGGCATTGCTAGTATTTCATTTGCCAAAGTACACATTTTAGTAGTTTGTATCTAAAACCCCACAGGTGTAACAACAGCAGCCAAGAATCAAATCCAAGTATTTTGGTGGTTTTTCTGTTCAGAAGTCCCTGCTGTGATGGACGGAAGCAGTGAGGAGCAGAGCTGGGCTGCCTGGATGAGCCTGGGAGCTGCTCCCTCTGCACTGCAGGAGCCCCTTTGCTGCCAGTTCTGGCCACTGAACCACTTCCACAGCCCAGAGCTGTGGGAACAGCCTTTCCAAGGCCTGGCTTTGGAGCTTCTTGTCTCCAACAGAAATCTTCTGACCTAGGTTCCCTTTGGAACAGAGCTGAGGTGTCTCAGATGAGGTAAATGGAAATAATTAGAAATAAAAATTACTTACTGCAGGCCCAATAATGCCCAGATGGACACTGGGATCCTTTCTGTGCCAGTCTGAAACAGAAGACAAAACTGTTTTATTAATAAAAATTATTAGTTTTTAAATCAGTATAAATAGCTCCATGATTAAAGAAGAACTAGACAAATATTGTATTGCTACTTTAAAAACTGGATGTGCACCAGATTCCATGCTCAGCCCTCACGTTACTCCTCAGAATTCAAATATTAGCATATCTGAAAGTTAGTATTTAGCCTTTCTGCTTCATGCAATCTCTTCTGACTCAAGGGTTATTTAACTAAGCTCAGATATTAATTTTGAATCACTCAAGAGAACAATGCTCTGTATAATGCACTGATCATGGCCACTAAGCCAAAATTACTTGAATATTTTCCTGTGTAAAGGAACGTGTGGAGGTAACTGCAGCCATTACCATCATCACTCTAATATGCACAAGAGATATCTGCTGCTCTTTGAATCCCAGAACAAACCAGTGCAGCTCACTCCCAGCTGCATTTGTTACTCAGCAGCACGAGGCTTCAAGGGTTACAAAAGTCAGCTGAATAGTGCAGGCTGAATTTCCAGCTCAGAATGCTCAAGTCTCTTACAGACACAAGCAGAGCCTGGCAAAAAATTCCCTTTTTAGGAGGAAACTTCAGCCCAGTCTGAGCACTGAGCCAAACAATGGGTGGGAAAATTTGTTTGCAGCTTCAATGGCATTAATTAGCACACATGCAAATCAATGTAGCAGCCACGGGACAGCAAGATAAAAAAGTTATTTTGAAGTAGATGATATTTTCTTTTGTCTTCCATCAATATTGCATGTAACAGCAAAACAGTTTTCTCAGCAAGCAAAACCATCAAATATTGCTTTGATTGGAATGCTCTGTCATTCCCAGCAGGATGGAAAAGCCACGGCACAGAAATAATGAATTGAACAGATCAATGGTTACACTAGAATTTCTCCTTTCAAATGTAAGTATATGATGATGTTTCCTGCAATAAATAAAACAGCTCATGCCAAACTTCAAACGTTAAAAGAATGCACTGAGTGACAAAGAAGAATATTCAAGAAGCCAGTACTCACCTGAGAAAGCTTCCACTAAGTACAGAGGGTCTTTGACTCTCCGGAGCCCACACACCAGAAGGAAGAGGTGCACACTGCCTGTGTCTGTAGGAATGCCTGGGACAAATTGGAAAAATCATCAGGGAAGCAGGCACAAACCCTGAGCACTCCAAATTGTTCCTGAGTGAGCACTTACAGTGGTAAAAGCAGTAAAGAGTGGATTATGGAAAGTGATCATTACTGCAACCAACCCAGCCAAGGGCACCACTCACCCACGCATCCTCAAAATCCCTGCAGGCAGCCCAAAGCACCACTGCCCTGGTGCCCTGGCAGCTGTGCCACCCCTGACACCCCCAGGGGGAAGGAGTTCTTCCTGCTCCCCAGTCTAATGCTCCCCTGGCACACCCTGAGGCCATCCCCTCATGATGCCATCCCCTCTTGGTGCCATCTCCTCTTGGTGCCATCCCCTCATGATGCCATCTCCTCTTGATGCCATCCCCTCATGATGCCATCCCCTCTTGGTGCCACCTCCTGTTGGTGCCACCTTCTCTTGATGCCATCTCCTCTTGGTGCCATCCCCTCTTGGTGCCATCTCCTGTTGGTGCCACCTTCTCTTGGTGCCATCTCCTCTTGGTGCCATCCCCTCGTGATGCCATCTCCTCTTGGTGCCATTTCCTCTTGGTGCCACCTCCTGTTGGTGCCATCCCCTCATGATGCCATCCCCTCTTGGTGCCATCTCCTCTTGGTGCCATCTCCTCTTAGTGCCACCTTCTCTTGGTGCCACCTCCTTGGCCCTACTGTTGTTGCTGGGCAGAACAGGATTCTGACACAGTGACACTCCACACTTGGGCCATTATAAAAACCAGAACACGAGCACAGGCAGCAAACACAAAAGCCTGAATAATTTCTGAAGCTTCAGCAGGGACACTGTTTTTCTAAAGAAGGCAGGAATAAATACAAGTGTTATCTAAAGAGATTTTGAAAGTGTAGATTCATTTAACTCCATCCCTCCAGGTACTATCAGGGGAAAAAAAATGCAGCAGTCATAGGTGCACAATAAAAATAAATGTATTACTGAAAATCTTTAATCTTACTGAAAGCTGCAGGCCTGGAAGTGAATGAGTAATACCAAGCATTAGCTTGCTGAGAGGTAAAGAAGAAGATTTAAAAATTAATTTTCCAAGCCCTGATTTCAAGTTCACTGTTGTTTTCTATAGACCTTCAGAGAACAACACCAAGTCCACATTATTTAGGATTATTTGTCCATTTCTGGTTTTGTTCAGAAACAAAATCTAAGCCGTGATGAGATGGTGAGGGGAAATAACCTTATTTTCTTTCCTGGTCACTTTGAAGCACGGCAGGTCTTTTACTCCTCTTGAAAATATTTCATTTATCCACCTCCTGAGCATCTGAAAGCATTGACTGCTGTCCTCAAAAAGCAAATCCACAGGTTTATGGCTGAGGTTTCAGTCTTTAAGACAAGGATTTTATATTCTTGAGCATGAAACAGATAAATTTGTCCAACTGCAGCACGAACCTTTGATACTCTAAATCTTTCCATTCGTGGCTTTTCTTAAGTTCATCTCCCTGCACACTGCAGAAACACCCGCCCTGAGCTCTTGCAGTGCCCTGGCTCCTGGATTTGGGTTTTTCTCTGCAGCTCAGCTCCGAGCCCAGCTTGGAGCAGCCACTTGCAGCCTGTGCAGCCACTTGCAGCCTGTGCAGCCACTTGCAGCCTGTGCAGCAGCAGCAGCAGCAGCAGCAGCAGCAGCAGCAGCATCTCCTCCTGCCCTCTGAGCACAGCCCAGGCACTGCTGCCACAGGAACCCAGCCAGCCCTCATCAGGCATCTCAAACAGATTGTTCAGGTCCCAGGCACTTGTTACTGTGCCATGGCACCTCACCAAGCAGCCTGCTCCCTACAGGTCACAGAATCACAGAATAATCACAGAATGATGAGGCTGGAAGAGATCTCTGAGATCATCAAGTCCAACCCATGCCCTGACACCCCAACAGACTGTAGCACCACGTGCCATGTCCAGTCTTTTTTTAAACACATCCAGAGATGTGATTCCACCACCTCCCTGGGAAGACAATTCCATTGTTATTCTTTCTGTGAACAATTTTTCCTGATATCCAACCTGTACCGACCCCACCTGCCTGCAGCCTCCCTTCAGGGAGTTTTGGGGAGCAATGAGGTCCCCCCTAAGCCTCCTCTTCTCCAGGCTGCAATAACTTTACCCCAATGTTCCCACTGCTGTCACACCCAGGAGGGAATCACTGCTGGGGCTGCTGCTGTGTTGGTGAAGACAGAAGTTAAATGAACCTGCAAACTTCCAGGGACAGGCTACTGATCCAGAAAAATTGGACTGCAAAATTCTCAATCAATTCTCCTCTCCCCTGTTTCTCATTATTTCTAACAGATCAGACAACAAAAAAAGCTCTGCAGTTTCAAATCAGTTTGGGAACTCACTTTATTGCTGCTATCATATAGTTTTTACTACACTCAGCTGTATAAGTGCACAAACTTTTACTGTTCCGTTTTTCTTACGTGGGGCTCTCTTTCCAGAATAGCTTTAGGAAAATCTAATGCCTCAGTAAAAGCCTGCCAGTGTCATGGCAGTTTATGTAAACTTCTCAAGCTCGGAGAACAGCCCTGCCACAAAGCAGAAATTACAGAGTTGAAAAATCAAACTACAAGAGCATATTGCATGTTCTATTTGCTGCTGCAATAAGCATGTGACCCTATGGTTCCACACCTCCATGAGAGCAGCTTTAAGTCCTGGCTCTTGGCTAAACAAAGATTTCTCAGATTTTAGTGCAGCCTTTGTTATCTCCATCTTCTCATCACATGATGTTTATTGGGGTCTGTATCTCCAGCCCCATTCCACTGTGATCAAAAGGAGCTTTTCATCCTGCAGTGATGCCTTCAGGCCTGTCTGTGATCAGAAGCTGCCCTGCCCCAGCCTTGAGCTGTGTGAGAAGATCACTCTGAGGTTTCTCATCTCCTAAACTGTCTTGTCATGTTCTGTCAGTCTCCAGCACCAGGCTGAACCGCGCTGGCTCTCAAGTCTATAGATAGGGCTTCTAAAACTGCTCTAGCCAAATGGATTGTGCTGTATATAGATCCCTGCAAGGCAGGGGCAGAGAAAAGCAGTTTGATCATCTGGTGTGCTCTCCAGGCTGCCACAGGCAGCAGAACTCCCTTAAACAGGCCGAGTTCCCAGAGGCTGGAGATGCTGTGCTGCTGCAGGCTGAGCTGAAACCTGCACTTGCTGCAGCTCTGTGCTTTGGCTGCTGCTGCTCACACTCTCCCAGCCACAGAAGACAAACTGTGAAGCTGACTGTTAACCACGATGCAAATTAACTCTAAAAGCCCCTTTTCATTTTGTAGATTTAGCCAGTGGATGCTGCTAGCCAGCCCCTGGAGATAGTGCAGCTAGGAGCCAGCAGTAACCCCACACCATCACCTCTGGACTCTCTCTGGTCTGAGACTATGAAAAAATACAAATTCCATGATTTTTGTACTGAGATTGTACTGCACCCATAATAATAATGACAACAAAAACCCTTCACAGCACTGCTCCTGTTTGTGCCAGGCAATTGCTATTTACATCAGCACTCAAACTGTCACATGGAGTGCACAGAAAGCTGGGATTCCTTAGACTTTGGTTTAATACCATTCAAATTTGGGGGCTGGAAATCTCCCACCATAAAATGCACTTGATGCATTCTGCCACTCACTTAAAGCTACCATTCAATTCTTTTTGAATCCATTACATTGATTTAAAGAGGATGTTTATGTATTGGTGCATATTTAAAGTGAGTAAATGTTTCCTCTGACTGAAAAGAAACATCAGTACAAAGAATATTCCTAAGAAGTCTGTTCTGTGGAGAAAAGTCTGGAAGAATTCATGAGAGAGAATAGTTTGGCACCCTCAACACCAAAGGTTATTTAACAGTGATGCCTCAGATGAATTAAAACCTGTGTGCTGTTCCTTTGCATTCTGTCCTGGAATCCTGAATTTGACAAATGCCCAAGGGTTCTGCTAAAGACACAGGCAAGGGTTACCTGGAGAAATATTTCTCCCCAAAACATCACCAAGTGCCCTCAGACATGGAACAGAAGTTCATGAAAAAGTCTTTAAAAAGAAAAGCTCACAAATGCCATGAGCTGAAGGAGACTGGACAGCTTCACCTGCATTAAAGCTCAGGGTCTTTTCAAGTCTTTTCACATTGTGCAAGCCCACACTGCCAAAATCACATCCTCCTGAGCAAAACTGCCTCCTGGTGTTGAGAGTTTTCTTCTGATTGCTCCAAGTTTAGTAGAATTTTAAACATTTTAGAGCTGCAAATGCCCAGAAAAAAGCAATTCACTGAGAACTCCTAATTAATCCCTGGAAAGCACAAAGGTACAGCCAAAAAGCCTGACTCCTTGTGCAGTATTAAAAGAAGTGGAAATTCTGGGCTGCCACCAGAGATGGACATGGGTACCAGGCAGAGAAGATAAATGAGATGAAACAGTCATAAAAACAACACTGAATAATCTGATGCCAGTTTTCAAGTTATTATTTAATAAGGCACAGATGTTAGAGTCACATTTTAGTTTGCTTTTCATGTACATTATGAATTATTTTGTACTTTTGCATTAGTACACATTAGGCAAAAACCAGTCTCTAATATATTAGAAATTCACTTTAGGGGGAGCTTCCCCCTCCTCAATCTGTTGATTGCTCATTTAATCACAAAATGGTTGGACAAGAGATCAAATCAACACTAAGGCTGTGCTAGCAAGCGACAAATCATTTCACTTCAGAAAATTATTAATCTTAGTGGCACTGTGCTTGTGGGCTGTGATTTACTGAGAACAAAATAAGCTCACAATGCTCAGTTTAAAACTGACACTGGCTTTGACTAATGGCACACATTTCCTGATGTGATAATGCCACTGACTGGTGAGGATTCATCTGCAGCAGAGGGAACAGCTGTACTACCAGAGATCAGGCTGATGAATGTAAAATTGAAACGTTTTTACCAGGGTAAAACGCCTATAAATCACTCTTTTGGGGAAAGATGAAGTGATTAAAGCATTGCCAAGATCAGGTGGCTCAGAATTAGGTCACCTGCCTTCCCTGCCCTGGTGGCAGCAGACAGCTCCAGACCAAAAATTCAAACTGCAGCACTTGTTCCTTGTGGCAAGCACGTTTCTCTCTCTCTCAGGATTTTTCATAGAGGAGCACAGAGAGAAATAAAAGAAAAAACAATTTCTATTTCTGCTCCTTGTTTTTCCCATTGGAATGTGTTTGGAGAATTGTTTCCCTGGGATGATGCTTGGTTGGATTCTGGTGAGGATTGTTTGAGCCTGATGGCCAATCCAACCCACCTGGGGCTGGGCTCAGAGAGGGGCACAAGTTGTGTTAGAGTCAGAGAAAGCAGTGTGTAGTTTTAGTCTCTTCCTTTTTATATAGTATATTAATGTATTTTAGCCATAGGTCTAACAAAGACATCATTCAGCCTTCTGAACTGAGTCAGACATCAGCATTCCTTCCCATGGTGATGCATTTCCAGTGGTTTCCCCTCTGCCCTGCTGCAGGCAGCCCCAGCTGGGCTCACTGAAGCCCAGGGATGGGTGCTGGGCTCCAGACAAACCTTTAGGGACACTCCCCACAGCTGGAGCACAGCTGGTGCAGCTCTGGCCACACAGAAATTCAGAGGCACTCTGGGTTCTGGATGACCCAGACTCATCTGATTGATGTTCTGCCATTTCCCATAGCATGAAGGCACTTTATTACATAATTAGTCAAACTCTGATTCTAAGTTTCTTTCATCCTTGACACCTATGAGGAACAAACACAGTAAACAAAGGGAAAAAATGAGTTTTACCTGCATTTTGTAGGAATCTATACCAATCAAATGTTTCACTGGGTGTAGTCTTAATTCCTGTGTTAAAAAAAAAAAGATTCCCAGGTTAAATGTGCCCTGGATGGCTGAGCTGTGGCTCCTGAAGGCTTTTTGAAGTGAAAAAAGAGCAACATTTCTGCCAAGCCTGCCCTGCCCGCTGCAGTGCCAGGCTGCCTGTGCAACCCTTCCAGGACAGCAGCCTGAAATCCACTGGGGGGTTCTGCACAGTCACCCAGGGCTTGACTTCTGCAGCAGCACAGCCCTGCTGAATGTGGCCTTCTACAACCACACAGGGGGCAAAACTACACAGCACCCGAGGGAGCACATTATTCCAAAGTGACCCAGGGCAGCCACGACCCAGAGCCCTCAATAGAAAAGGAAGCAAATTAAATTTATGCACAAATCAAATATTAATATGCCCTGAATATTAATGTATTTGTTTTTCCTTATGTTAAAGATTAATTATTTTAATGAAGAAACTATTTTATTAATTTATTTAATCACTTATTTAACTATTACCTCCCAAGAGACTCAAATACAAACTAAACAGACTTCACAATGAGTAATTTCAAGAGCACAGTCTGGAAAAGAATGTGACTTCCTTTGAAAGTGAAATACGCAAAATGGAATGAGTTTTGGAATCCACAGAGAGTTCTTTTTAAGTAAGTAAATTAGGAAATGAAGTCATCACACCTAAAATACCACCTTGTGTTCCCTGGGCTGCTCACCAAGGGAGGGACCTCGGGTGAGGTGCTTGGCTCTCACTGGGTCAGAACTCAGCTTGGAGCATTTGAAGGGATTTGGGGCTCCAGAAATTCAATATTCACCCTCAAAACCCCTGCAGCCTTTGGAGCCATCTGCCTCCTGCTGGGCAGGTGCACAGAGGGGCACCAAGCTCAGCATCTCAGCTGTTCCGAGCTCTCACCTTGGCTTTGCACGTGGATTTTCTTCCGAGCATCTGGCTATAAAGAGGAGGAGAAGAAAAATCACTTTTAGGGTTCAACGTAAAAATATCTGTTCAATCCTCAAAAAAAACCCCAAAAACAAACCACAATAAAGAGTAACAAAACACATGCCAGTGTCACTTTCTTTTGACTATTAAAAAGCAAAACTTACTATTAGATACATTAAGTAACTCCAAAAGCCAACAATGTAATTTATATTTACTATGTCCATTTATGGTATCAATGAATCAATTTTGCAATAAACACAACTACCAAGTTAGTACAAATACATTTCTAGTTTTTTATCCTTTCTTATGATAATTATCCTGCTTTTCTGGACTAAAACAAATTTCAACTATCTAGCTGAAAATCAGCCCTAGTTCCCAAAAAGCTGTTGGTCGTGGAAGACTGGTTTTGAAAATCCAGTTTCTGTTTATCCATAATACAATTTATAAACATATCAGTTTCAGAAACTGCTGTCAAATGTACAGACCTTCCTAGACTGGAAAACTGGTGCCTGGTAGCTACTGCAGAACATCCACAAATAAAAATTGTAAAATAAATTACCTTAAAATAGCTGTAGTAAAAGAAGTAATTACTACACTTCCAAAGTCACTCCTCAAGTGCTGTTATTTAATTTAAGTAATTAAAAAAGCAATTTCCTGTTTCAATATCTTTCTATAACTCCAACTGTGGATTTGTGGAATACTTTTTTTTTTTTAATAAAAAAAAAAAAAAAAATTCAGAAACAAACTTCTGGCAACCAATTCTCAAAGCAGTCAGCTCAGAAAACAGGAAGCCACAGAAGTGATTTTTTTTTTTTTTAATTTTTTTTCTAATTGCAGAGATTTTGGTTTTCCCTGTTGTTCCTTTGTGGCTGCCCCTCAGTCCCCTGCCCAGGCACTGCAGTTACTAAAAATGAACTGGGGAAAAATACTGAAAGAAAAGAGGTCACTTAAAAAGGCATCTCCAAGCAGCTCACAGATGGGAAGGAGGTGGTTTCTGAGAATCAGAGCGAACAATGTCACCAAAATTACACCAAAAAGCAGCAAATCCACATGGGAATGAAGTGGAGGAGAAGGAAACAACTCTGTGCCACAGTGGGAACCTGAGGATATTCCATGGACTTCAACTTTCGTGTTCAAAGGATTTAAAAATAATAAAAATAGTGTAATGCCTCATTAGATGGTTTTATTACTCAACACTGGACCGTCTCTGACTAGCGTTTTGAATTACACAGCACGATAAAAAAGATAAAAAGACAAAAAGCCCCTGGCAGCAATGGGCAGCACTGTGAGCTGGAGGCCAGCTCCAGCCCCGAGCTCTGCAGCAGAACGGGACTGAGCCAAAGAGAGAAACACGAGAGGAGGAGGAGGGAAGGCAGGGGCGCAGCAGCCCTGCCTCTGCTGGCTCAGGCACCCTCAGCTCCTGGAAACACCGAGTTTACAAAGAACTTCCAAGTTTCACAAAGAACTTCCAAGTTTCCAAAAGAAGTTCCAGCTCAGCATCCTCGTCCTGCCCCGCTGGACCTGGCTGGCTCCGGGCAGCAAAACCAAGCCTGGGAGCAGCAGCAGGAAACCAGCAGAGCCTGGGGGGCACAGGGATGTGCTCACATCTACAGAGCAATTTATGGTCTTTATTTTCAATGGGATTGAGGAGAGAGGAAAATGAATGCTAATAGAAAGGGCTTAGGCAATTCCTCTGCAGCAGTTTTGTGCTGCTGAAATGAAATGCTGACCGTAAGCACGAGATCTGCTACAGGATTTCAAATGCACTTGGAATACAGATTATTACAAGGGCTGGACTGCATACTTCATAATTAAGGGTAATTTATGCAATGAAATAGAAAAGAATTTGTTGGAAGAGACAGCCTTTGAGTACACTGCAATTGCTTACATGTATTTAATTTAAATTCTTAAGTGACTAGCTCAACAAATGAGATTATTATCTTATTCCACATTAAGGAATAAAGCATCTGACAGCAGTGTGAGTTAAAATGTAAAAATCAGGAATATCCCAGGAGCTGTGGGTGAAGGATGTGCTCATGCTCTTCCCTGCCTGGGAGCAGAGCTGTGGCATTTGCTCTCAGCCTTCACACACAGACCCAGCAGAGCAGCAGCTCCAGCACCTGGGCACAGGTCAGCAGCTGGGATTTCAGTTTAGGACATGACAGATCCCAATTCCCTGCCTGCCACAGACCCCAAAGCACTGAATTGGTCTCACAGGCCCCGAGTACAAAAGTGCTTAGGAAATCAAAGCCTGGTACCTAAAAGCATGTGAGGGGCTGATTTTGAAATTATTTCAAAGCTCAATTTTATTTCTTCTCCTTCACTCTGTTACTTTTGTCCTTTTCTTGCTTAATATCTCTGACAGAAGCTGTGCCCTTTCCTATTTACCCATCATAAAGTTCATTGTAGTAACTATTAAAACCAAATTACATTTGTAAAATAAAACACCAAATCCCATGTCTGCTCATGTATCCTTCTAATGCAAATAGACTTTAAAAATCAATTAATGCTGAAATAAGGCATTGTATATCCTCCTGCTCTGTTGTGCCAGCTCCACTCTCAGTGATGATTTTTTAGGCAAGAGTGCATTAATGGTTATAGCATGATGGAAATTAGAACTGAAGATGTACCAAGCACTTTGTTTCAGCTCCTGGCATTAATTGTTCAGCTTCAGCTGCTGTTTCCAAGGTGAGCTGAGCAGAGCCAACACCCAGCAGGAGGGAGGGAGGGGGGTCCTGCCTTGCTGGCTCCTGCTCAGCCCTCACTGGACCTGCTGCTCAGCACAGCAAATCTCATTTACCTCTGCAGTTCACCTTAAGAAGTTCATTCTATTTCCAGAATTGACAAAACAAGTGTTTTTAAATGATACTGCCAAAATCTGTATTGTAACTAATGCTGTCTGGAGGAATTTTGTCAGCATGAAGTTTAGTAAATAATGCCAAAAGAAACAATTTGACATCAGGAGAGACTCGGTAACAACAAATGATTTAAGTGTTGTAGAGAAACACTTCCTAAGCTGTTCTACACTTCTAATACTAAACAGCTTTTAATGGCAGATCTCTCTGACCTGCTGAAGTACATCAACACGAAATGCTTTGTCTGAGAGGACAAGCAGGGCTGGAACAATGCAGATTATTGCAATTCTCTAGCACTACTCAGGGCACATTTTAGCAGGATGCATATCTGCTAATACTGTAAGCATTGCCATCACACAAACATACCCACTCTGCTGCTGCCAGCTCCTTCATTTCCACTGTGAAAGCCACTGCAAACCTGGTTAAAAGGACAAAAATAGTTGGGATCATCTGCTTAAAGTGTTTAAACATAAAAAAAAACTACTTCAGAAAAACCCTCGATAAGAACTAAGGTCAGAGGCTTACAAAGCTGATCCCAGCTGAAAGACAGAAAGCAGAAAAGACTTGTTCCAGCCAGCAGCAGCTCCTCAGGCTTTCCAACCCAGAGCTCTGGGGAAGGTGAAGTGAGGATTTCTGAAATAAGAGAAACCCCAAATAACGGGGACAGCTGCCAGTTTACCCCAATTCATGCACACAGCTGCAGCAGGAGCCTTTTCACAGCCAGAGCAGAGGTGAGCAGGGAGCTGAACTGCTTGGACAATGGCCAGTGCCACTGTGAGTGCCATCCAAAGGAGATGTCAGAGCTTTCTCGGGGTTCCACCTTGTGCCAGCCTTTGGGGGATGTGTGCTGGGCTGTCCCCGTGCACAGCAGGGACACAGAGGCCACCCAAAGGCAGCAGTGACAGCAACACGCTCCTTTTCTGGCTGTCCCAGCACAGCCAACAAAGGGCAGATTTCTAAACACACCCGAAAAGCAAGTTACCCTAACTGCACCTTGGTGGAGCACCCAGCAGCTGTAGGAGATGTTCTCACACAGTTAGTGAAGACCCCTGTTCAGGGAGATCTCAAGAACACACTGGGTTTTAATGTAGCTGTAAGCTGTACTGGAGCACAAACAAATGCTTTGGATGCTCTCAAATGGAATTTCAGCGTCAGGTGGACCCAAAAATGTGGCCATCTCTGGAGACCCGCAGTCCTGTGGAAAACAATGTTTGAATGGCTCCTTCCCACGAGACAAGCCAAGCTTCTGCTTAGCAAAACACTTTTTTAAATTCCTGGTAGAGATACTGAATATAAAGCAGAGGTCATCACACATCGCCCTGACGGTTCAGTGCTTCTTTTTCATGTCATTTCCTAAATGTTTCTGTCCTGGGCCAAGCCTCTGACACCTTAAAGGTTCCAGATAAAGCACAACAGCCACAACCAGGACAGAGCTTCTCCACTGCAGATGTTCTGTCATCATTTGAGGGCATGAAATCACAACCATTCATTAGAATTCCCATAAATGCTGAATTATGACTCCTATTTTTTTGTTGAAACAAACCTTCTTCCCCTACATTTGTTCTGTAGGATCTGCTTTATGGCCCTCCAATGAATTTCACACACACAACTTGACAGCTTTAAGGTTATTAAAGCTCTGCAAATGCTCGTTTTGTCAAGTTACACATGCTCCCTTCCCAGATTTTGCAATTATCCTTTCAATACATCACATTAACAAGCATAAAAAGATGTTGCTTCTAAGTCTACAAAATACTGTTCAATAGGAAAAAAAATACCCTAGAGGAGTACAAGCACCATTTAGAGGAATTTGATTAAAAATGAAACCCTCATAAGGCTAGACAGTGCTCAATAGTTTGTTTTATGGAATGCGGTGGGATATTGTACTGGACAGGTAATCTACAATTCATGATGCTTTCTGCTTAGAACCCTGCAATCAATAAAGAAAAAAGAAATCAATGTTTCTTTTAATAACTATGCAATGAATAACACCAGTGATGCTACTGGAGAAGAGCTACATTCACAATAACTTCTAGAAAACTGAGATGCTTTTCCTGTAGCAGAGAAAATATTGTAAACTGCATAAGGATATTGCAATACATTTTGAAATATCATGGATAATTCAAGCTATTAAGGTATACTTCAGGTTCCCAACTCAATACCACTAAAAAACATTCAGTAAAGCAGTTTTTGTAATAGCTGTATTTGTGACAGACAATATTTTAAACAGAGATGGATCAAATGGACACACTGAGAGATGGTTTTAATGTATTTATCATTTTGCACAGTGCTGAAATTCATCTGACACATTAGATATCTTTTTCTTTTCCTTCAGACCTGTTGAAAGAATAACTTCTGATTATTTGGTAACAAAAGTAAACAAGTTCATAAATTTTCTCCTGAGTGGAACCTTCAGTTGCTTTCAGCTCCAAGGCACACTGAGACACCAGAATGTGTCCTAATGATTCTTCAGTGAGTGTGATTAAGTGCTACCTTTAAAATCTGTTTACTTACACATTTTACAGGGGATTACAGACAGAGCAGCACATCTCTGCCAGCCTTAAGTGAGCCAATAATAGCTGGGAAATAGAATGGCATCAGCAAGGATAAACCAGGAGAGAGAAGCCTGGTGCAGATCCTGCTGGCCCAAAATCCATCCTGCTCTGGGCTTGCAACAACAAAAAGCTTTCCTCCCCCACCATGGCCATGAGCAAACACTGCTAAAGTCAACAAACCTTTGGATCAGTCAGGAGAAAACTTCTTTTCTGGGGATGTTGAAACCATGAAAAATGCTCAGAAGTCTTTTTAGTTTTTAGTAATCTCCTCTGGTTTGTGATAATTCTCGATCTACATTTGATGACTACACTGGCATGTCACTAAAACTTTCCAGATTTTAAAACACCCTGAGAACACTCCCTTGTCATTTCACCTAAAATCAGAGAGAATTTGCTTCAAGACTTTTTTTACTGTCTGCTTCTTTGCTCATGACCGAGGGAAAGGATCACATTAGCAGGAGAAAAAAAATAGAATTTAAAAAATCTGCTTGTACTTGAGGGATCCACCTTTCAACAAGGCATTCTGTCAACAAGCTGTGTGTGAGAAACAGGGAGATACAGAACAAACTGCACACAGACTGCATTTTCTGATCAAATAATATCAGGCAATAACAGGTAAAGATCACCAGGGTTTCAAAAGTCCAGCCTTTGTCTGCTGGCCTACACATCTTCCAGTGATTCCAAGTGTGTATGGGAAACTTCCCAAAAGATCTGCCATACAAAAATAGAATTTCCTGTCAGAAATCTCACCCCTGCTCTTACCTGGCTTTCTCCAGCACTGCTCCCATTACCTGGCGCTTCTCTTTACATTTGATATCTTCATTTACATCTGTCCCACCAAAGATGATTCCAAAAGGAATTTTGCTCCCTGCAAAGCAATGAGAAGTTGGCCAATGTGTCCATGTAATGATCAGGAGTGAAAAAGTACACTGATAATACTGAATCACCTATCTGAGCAGAAAGCTTTGAAAAGGAAACTTGAATTTTCATTTTTTAGTACTGTAACCCCACACACAATAACAGCATTTTCACAGGACATCAAACCAAATGGGAAACAAAGTTTGTTGACAAAAATAGAAAATGTACCATAGATTTCACATTTGCATTTGACAATTATGTGAGCTGTGAGATCAGGATTTATTAGCATTGCTAATTTCCTCATTACTAAATGAGAAAGCAAGCAAAAAGAATGCAAGACTAATTACCAACCTGGCTACTTGGAGAATTTCCTTGGCATTTGTTGATATTATACTCTAATGTTTGCAGGTGGAGGGAATTAATGTGCACTATCAAAGCACCACTGCCTCTCATCTTCAAGAGACAGGCTGTCTGTAATACCATATAAAATATGTACTGCCTCTTTTATAAATTAAAAAAATGAATAGTTATGATGTCATCTAGTACCTGTGTTGATCCTGCAAACAGAATTTCCAGGATGAGGTCAAGCAGATCAATAGCATGGCAGCAAAGGTGGTATGAGTACAATCAGTACATTTCTAAATGTTCTAGGAGCCAGGAATGTTCTCTGAATCCCTTTTTTCCTCCCAGAAGTCTGCAATAACTTTACACGATGATCATCCCAGCAATCTTGCTGTTACTGCCCTGCCTTTCAGAGATTTTTGGGTTATTTTTCTTTAAGTTACAGTACATACTTTTTAGAACAGTGTAACTGATTTATTTAAATTCCTGAGCTTTTGTAAAGTATCAGGCTTTTCAGGTCACTTGGGACTTTGAAAAGATAACAGCATCAGCATTTGGGCATTTCCATGCAAGTGAAACACCAGTAAAATTTTACTCCAATAAACAGTTAAAATTCAACTTTATCTTTTTTTCCTCAGCAAAAATCCCCAAAAATATGATGCTCAGACTTTCATACGCCTCTTCCAAAACAATTCAAGGTCTTGTCAAAAACCAAATCATTTCTGTGTTCCAACAAGCCTTAATTCCTAGGTTAGCACAGCTCATTTTACAGACTCATTTTGTATTTGTATTTCAGGTCCCTGCTGAAATCAGAACCCCTCTGGAACAAAAGAAACCCAGGCACAGCAGACGTGGGAATTCAGGCTGTCTGCAAACCCCCGGGGCAAACTGGGGGGCACTGCTGAAGCCTCCAAAGCAGAACTGCCCCCAGCTCAGTGAAGGATGCAATTATGTGCCTGTGTTCCAGGGAACAGATTTCTGCAATACAAGTGGTCTCAGCAAAGCATGCAAACTTGCAATTTCAGTAGGTGACTGCCTGTAATTTCCAGAGCCAGTGTTTCTAGTGTATCATTAGTGGCAGGCTAAAATTTTGTTCTACGTGGCTAGAGAGGATAGAAAATTTCATTATTTGTCTGATAACATCCTGTCTCCTACAGTTTAGCTGACAGGAATGTTATTTCACGTCAAAAAACCCTGACTCATTTTTGAGCAGAAAAATCAAATTAGCCTCCCTGCCTTCTTCCATTTGAGCCCAGCTCTACTTAGCCAAGCCATTGTCCTCTGAAAGAACACATTTGCTGAAAGGATCCTAATGTTAATGTAATGCTCTTATCCTGATGTAGTTAAAGTACTTAATTATCAAAAGCACTGTGTGGTTTAAAAGTACATTTATTTTGTTCTCTCTGTATCAGATCTCCCATTGAGAGGGATTTTTAGCATTTCTGAAGGTTTGCTGAAGCAGATAAACAGAGTAAGGATATTCTGTGTGGGTTTATACTTTTATAGCCATGTATAACAGTTAGGATTCATTCTCTCCCCTTGCAGGACTTTTTTAGGAGGTATTGCTTATTGCCAAGCAGAAAGAGGATTACCTTGCAGCAGTCTGCCTCCTTTGTAGAGGTGAATGGCCAGGGCTGCATCAAACTTGTCTGTGGAGGTCAGGTTTGCTATTTCAGTTGGACTTTCATACATGAAAGCATCTTTAAGAACACAGATATGACCTGCAGCATGTAGATGATCCCTTCATTATTGGAACAAATAAAAAGAGAATAAAGAAGTCACTATTAATGTTAAAGGCACACCAGTATATGAAGCAAACTTAATCAAAACATTTTTCCTTAAACTTTGCTCTGACTTTCAACTTTATGCCTTTTTGTTCAAGTAACCAGGAGCTGTTTACAAGGATGTTCTTTTTCCTGGAAGGTATTTGTTATCTTCAGCACTGTGAAGCCACAGCATGCTTCCAAGCAATGTAACACTGCATGGGCCAAGCCTGATCAACACAACTTCCAAGAATCAGAAAAAATGAAGTATGCCCAGGACCCTTCCTGACCCAACTTATTATTCTGAAACCCTCCCTTTGCAGATTTTGTCAGACCTTGCTCTTAGAGATTCTCAGACCCTTGTTCTGGAGAAAGGACACCAAGTGAAGAAAGCACAAACATGTCCAGCCCATCAATGCTACTAAAACCACAGAACATCAAAACTGAATGCATCAAGAAAGCCAGGGAGCTGAACAGGTTCCCCTTCTGTTTGATGGTGGATTTCATTGCTTCTTGTCTTAGCTCACCCATTTATAAACCAGGCAAAGGATAATTGAAGTATAAGCAAAAAACGATACAAAAATAATTATACAAATACCTTCATAACCTGCTTTAAAAATCTCAGTTCCAAACAGAAGAAACAACAAACCCAACAACAAATCCCTGACCATCAGCCTGCACATTCACCTTCAGCTAGAGTGGTTCTCACATTAAAACACTGATGCCAAGGCTGCCAGGCTCAAGGAGCTGATGGGTTACAGACAGCTTTACTCCTCCCCTGAAAGCACAATCAGGTATCAATGTTCCCAAGAACAGCAGCCAAAAAACACAGAGGAGAAAATCTGTGTCTGCTGCCACGGAGGGTTTGCATCGTCAGGATCACAAAAACACCACAAGAACGTTCTCTGCTTATTCCCTATTGTGGCAGTGGATTGATTTCTCATTGTGTGTTAATTGTGCTGGCATTAAAATCCTGCTAGCTCATTGACTTCCTGGATAATGTTGGCTTTCATTTCCTGATTATTGCATAGCCTCCCAAGAAATGGGATTTTCTGTCCTGCAGAAATTGGTGCTCAAAGTGCTGTAAAATGTCTGGAGGCCTCAGAAGGAATGCATTAGCACTGTATCAGCCAGAGCTCCACTGGCACAACATATGGTGCTGCATTTCTTCCCTATCCTAAAAAGAAACTCCTTTTAATTCCACTGTTCTCAACGAGACCAATAAATTATGATAAACGCTAATAAATAATAAAACACAGGCACATTTTAAGCTCCTTCTGTACACTGCTGAGCAATTATTAACACCAGTTGCCCCATGAACTGGTTCCAAGTACCTGCCTTGCTCTTGAAAGAGGTTCTCAATTTATATCACAATAATGATGCCCAAATCTCCCAGCTGTGGAGAGAAAATCTCTCTGGCAAATACTTGGGATGCTCGTGCATGCATTCCATAATTTCACAGGTGCTCATTAAATGGTCTAAAAGGATTTTTTTTTACATCAGTATTCCAATTACCATAAATCACTATCATGTACAAGCAATATGTTTGCATATTTCAATTAATTTGAAAATAACTCTCTCTGGACATCAGGAATCAAGGAACTCAGCCAGGAATGCCAATCGAAAGTAGTTTTTTTGTAAAATATCCTAGGGATGACTACTTCTCCTGCACACTTTCCACAGCTCCACATCTCCCTGGGGAATGACAGCTGTTCCTGCAGTAAATAGAGAGGGACTCCCTCAAGTGTTCCGAGGCTCAGAAATTGTGCATTACCTCTACTTCAATTTTTTCTTTTTTAGCAGATTTTTATTCTACTCAGGAGCACGTAAAAAAATTTGCATACATCTTTAGAAGGAAAAATAAGCAAATATTCCCAGAATAATTCAAATTCCCAGATTTAAAGAGGCCTTGATCCCCTAAACATTCCATTGAGTTTGATAACATTAATCACAAGCTTCAAATTATGCATATATGGAAATACATGTGTGTAGAAGCTGAGTTATTGGGTTGTATTTAAGTACTGAAATTTACAGTGTTATTTTCATGTTTTCTAAATGGCTTTTCATCTTTATAACCAAGAAAAGCAGACTGATTTTCACACATATGCTGTTACCAAGGAACATGATTAGGAGTGCTGCAAAGTTGTTGCAGGGGATTTTTTTGGAAGACTGATCAGTCTGTGAAGTCACAGATGTCCCTGAATGAAGCCAAGGCAGAGGAGACACATTATCCATAGCTCTTCTCCTGCTGGCAAATGTCTCTTCACATTATTCTGCCATTTCATAAACAAATACTTTGTGAATGAGAAATAAAAATTAACCCAGCTCCTGCTGTCTGGGAATCAACGACAACACTGGAAATGCCAAATCTCACGGCTACATTTTCTCTCCATCACAGTTCTTAATGCAGGAGATAAATTCCCAAGTGTCTTAACAAACCCTGAACGTTCTTGGATCCAGAATTTGCCTTGCCGGGTTCTTCCCTTCTACTGAAACTCTCATGGAAGCCAATGCCATGACTTGGGGAAATAATATTTCTGAAGTGGAGGTGAGCTGTCAGATCCCAGATTTTGGGTGTTTTTCTAGGCAGAAAGCATCAGGGAGAACTTCAGCCATTCAGTAAATGTGAAGGAGCATTTTTAGAAGCACATTATACTGGCCACTGCTTACTCTGTGCTATTAATACACACCTGAGTATTGGACAAAGTATTTCCCAGTCCCCCTCGTTTCATCATTCAGGAAATTAATTTCTCTTTTGTTTGGTACATTTTTTATATTCTTTGGAAATCAAAAATTTTACTTAAAAGCTTTGTAAGTGTGTTCCCTGGATCTATACTGTGTGCAGAGATCCTGCTAAAAGGTACAGCCCTTTTCTGACACATTTTCACTTTGAGATCTCTACACAAAAAACATTTTTCTCTAACACATCTATGAAATACCAAGCGATGTTTTACAATGTTTAATTTTTTATTCCCTACGTAATTGATCACTACTCCTCACTCTGCCTGGCTAGCAGCGTCCCCTCCTTCAGCATGAATCTGCAGTTCACAGGTTTTCATAGAAGGAAACAGTTTTAGAGTTCCAAACACAGCCTGGCTTATGAGAAGGCTCAGGAGTTGAAAGTGTGCTTATTTATAAGGTATTATGGTTGTGAAACTTGCTCTGTTTTCTGTGATATCTCCTTTCAGAAACATTTACGTTCTAAATTTCAACTGATACTGATTTAATGGAATTACTTGCAGACAAACAATGTTTGATTTCCAAAAAATTCCTGGTAGGTGGATACACTGACACTTCTTGAATGGCACAAAATAGGCTTCGTCCCAAAATATTAATTATCTCTTTCCCTCAGCTGTCTGTTCTGCACAGCAGCTGTGCACCAACTACTGTTAAATGTATATGGCACAATTCAGAGCTTGTTAAGGGAGCAGAGCCATTGCACTGCCTCTTAGAAACTTGGCCAGACCTGAATACTCACAATTCCCACTGAAGCTCATCAAATTACAAGAGCTGAAACCCTGCCTGATCCCCTGTTTTCTTTGTAAATGATCTGGTTTTTTCAGAATTGTTAAAACAACATGTCCTTCAGTTCATTTCCCTCTCAAACTTCTCCTTGACACAACACAGACAAATTGCATTGGCATGAGTGAACCATGAATAAAGTTCACTGCGAATCACAGGAATTAAAAATTCCTGTGAGTGTAGATGGGGACCAGCTCCTCCTGTGTTCTGAAATCAGTAACTGAGCTTTGGAAGGACCAAAGAGCTCTGCAAAGCTTCAACCTGTGCTACAAACAGTTCCTGCAGTGCAAACCATGGTGTTAGCGAGGGCAGCCCTGGATCTCGTGCCAAGGTGCAGATGAACACCTGTCCTGCAGGTCCCTGCTCTGGGGATGGCTGTGCAGAGCCAGCAGCAATGTCCCAGCAGGGATGTCCCAGCAGGAATGTCCCAGCAGGAATGTCCCATCCTGAGCAGGGATGTCCCAGCAGGGATGTCCCAGCCTGAGCAGGGATGTCCCAGCAGGAATGTCCCAGCAGGGATGTCCCAGCAGGATGTCCCATCCTGAGCAGGAGTGTCCCAGCAGGATGTCCCAGCCTGAGCAGGGATGTCCCAGCAGGAATGTCCCAGCAGGATGTCCCAGCCTGAGCAGGGATGTCCCAGCCTGAGCAAGGATGTCCCAGCAGGAACAGCCAAGCCCCAGCAGGAACAACCAAGCCCCAGCAGGGATGTCCCAGCCCCTGGACAGAGCCAGCAGGGAGGTGCAGGAGTCCCACACCTGCCCTGGGAGTGTTCTCCTGTGGGATTCCAACACTGGCACACAGGGTAAAACAAAATAGCAGAAGTTTTTGGATTACTGAACAACTCCAATAAATGTCTAAGCTCAGACCCAATTGTCAAGATGAATGTTGACAACGTTGGATTTGTGGGTTTAATTCTCTTGCAGTTGATTACCTGGAGATTTACAGAATGGCTGTCTCAACTGGCCAGTGAGACAAAACAATTTCTCCCTCTCCAGAAAACATTTACATATTGGCAAAACAGTTAATCTAAATCTTTCTAATTAACCTATTAATTCCAGATTTCTATTCCTCCTTACTACCAAGTAATAAAAGATGAACAAAACATTTCAAGGGGCAGGGAAGAATAATTTCTTCGTTGATCTCAATTCTAAGGCTGAACAATGGCAGCCTAACTAAAGACTTTTGCTTAGTGCTGTATTCTTTATTCATTGTTCATATTTTTAAGGTGATTAAAGATTATGCACACCAATAGGAATAAAGCCCAAAGCACATTCATTATACCACTTGTTTTAGCAAGTTGATTTTTAGCCAAATTAGATTCTGGTACCTTTGTCACCACTTACTTTAAACTCAGGAAATGAGTATCTTATTTATGAAAAGATGAAACAGTTATTGGAAGAGCTGTAGTATCATAAACAGAGTATACACTGTGATATTAAGCCATAAAATTAGTCTATGCTGGCAAGCACTCAACCCAGAGACAATGTCATTGTTTCATTTATATTTAACCAAAAGTTTCAAATGAAAAAAAAATTGAACAAATAACTTCCTAAGCATACACAGAGACACAGGGGAGGCCAAATATTAATTGGAATGTGTGTTTGATGTGTATTAACATACACAATACAAAGTTTACCACATGCACAGCCAAGACTTTGGCCACACGTATAGGCTTCATGGGCTTTTTTGAATGGCATAAAATCTTAAGAAAACCAGTATTTGATAGAAATACCTGCACAGGATGCTTTTAGTGATGACCTGACTAGCCTTTTAATCAGAAAGATGGACTTAATTGCTAGCTTATACTCTCTTTCCCAGATCAGAATTTTCTTTCCCTGAAGGCTCATTAATATTATTTCAATAAATAACATTTACAGTTGGTGATAAAACAGGAACTGAACATGACAAGTTACTCTCAACCACTCTTTCCACTGGAATCCTTTACTCAGCTTTACTGTGAGCACGAATTAAGTTTACCTTTCATTCTTTCTGTTTGGAGCTCTGTGTGCATGAGAAAGCAGTGACCACTTTGTGTGAGGAATTCCTACACTTTGTGTGAGGAACTCCCATATTTTGTGTGAGGAACCCCTGCACTCTGTGCAAGGAGAATTCCCACACTTTGTGCGAGGAGCTCCCACACTCTGTGAGAATTCCCAAACTTTGTGCAAGGAGCTCCCACACTCTGCGAGAGGAATTCTAAATGTATATCTGACTTCCCTCAAAGTGGAAAAAGAAGGTAAGTAAATATTTAATTTGTAAAGGTAGAGTAAATAACCTTGTAGAAGAAAAATGAGCAGTGCCCAACAATGTGCCCAACAATAACTAGTTTTGCATTATCCAGTAAGAGCAAAGGGTAAAATGGACATGCAGAATGCCACAGGAACTCTGCTGGAATGTACAGGCATAAAAATAAGTGTGTATATATATATATATATATATATATATTTACTTGTTTTGTCTCAAAATTTTAGTAGCAATTATTGCTTTAAAATAGCAAAACCTTCATCTTTCTCTGGACTTTTTATCTTCAGTGCCTGGGCGACTGACAGGATCAGCAGATATGCCCTACCAGTACCTTATACAACAGAGTAGCCCTGCAGAAGTCTAAGGTTGACTTGATATGACACAAGCAGCATGAAAACTTAATGTCTGAGGATGTTTCTATCTATAACACCACATGTGAGATAATGCACAGATCAAGCAGAATATCCCAAGAGATTAATCTGATTAAACTGTGGATGACTTTTAGATAAGATGAAACCAAATCGTTATTTAGGGCCTCAAGAGGACAAAACCATTGGGAAATGGTTTTATTTTTATAGTGACTTTTTTTTTCAATAGCTGACATGCACAGTGAAGCCCCAGCAGCAATGCTCCCAGCCACATCCCCTTTCGACGTCACAGAAAGAGCTAACCGAGGACATTGGGAATAATTCTGCGGTTGTGTTCGCCGGTGCGATTTCCCAGCACTGCAGCCCGTGTCCGACATCCCCCCGGGAGCCGCGTGCGGAACCCGCAGCACGGGCGGCAGCGGAGCGGCTGTGGCACAGCTGCTGCGGGCACAGCGGCGCTGCCCGCGGCGCTGCCCTGCCGCCCTCCGCAGCGCCTGGGCCGCCCCCGCGGCCGCTGCGCGGGGCACGCTGCGGGCGAGGCACCCGGTCCCGTGCCGGCCGTGCGGTGCCGGTGCGCGGTGGGTGCCGGTGCGCGGTGGGTGCCGGTGCGCGGTGGGTGCCGGTGCGCGGTGGGTGCCCGCCCCCGGTGGGTGCCGGTGCGCGGTGGGTGCCGGTGCGCGGTGGGTGCCCGCCCCCGGTGGGTGCCCGCCCCCGGTGGGTGCCCGCCCCCGGTGGGTGCCGGTGCGCGGTGGGTGCCCGCCCCCGCTGGGTGCCGGTGCCCGGTGGGTGCCCGCCCCCGCGGGGTGCCGGTCCCCGGTGGGTGCCGGTCCCCGGTGGGTGCCCGCGGTGCCCGGTGGGTGCCCGCCCCCGCGGGGTGCCCGCGGTGCCCGGGCTCGGCCGCCGCCCCCGCGCAGCCCGGCCGGCGGAGCCGCCGCCGTGCGCCGGCGCGGGCAGCGCATGGCGGGCGCGGAGCGCAGCGCATCCTTCCCAGCGCGGCACTTACCGGATCCTGGCGGCCGTGGTGGCGTTGCCGGTCTGTGCCCGCAGACACGCCAGCAGCAGCAGCCGCATAGCGGCCGCTCCGCTCCGCCCGCCGCCGCCTCACCTGCCCGCGGCCCCCGGAAACGGCGCCGCGGAGCGGGGCCGAGCGGCCGCGGCCCCCGGCCCTGCGGGATGGGCCAGCCTGGCCAGAGGGCACTTGGCTACCGAGCCAGAGCTTTGGGTGCCTTCCACAGCTCGGCACCGCGCTGTGTCCTCGCTAGGCACAGAGATGACATGCTCAGATTGTCAATTCTAAGGGCTCCCGAGAAGAGCATCGCAGCCTCTGCCTCCCGATGCCACCCAGGAGGTGCCTCATGCTCGGTGCAGGAATGCCGATAGGAAAATACCTAACCACCAGAACAGCCAGAGGAATGCATTAGTCTGAAGAATAAGGCAATGGCATGGTCGAAGACCACTCCCAGCATCAGGAAAGCCACATAAAGAAGCAGAACCAAAGGTGCGTGAGACCAGGGAAAAGGCAAAAAACCACAGCAACAGCAGAACCCAAAGATACAACAAAACAGGGAAGAAAAAGGAACAAACCTGGACTCCAGATGAAGAAAAGCACATCCCAAAGCAGCAAGCCAGTGTTCAGGATAAAAGGGCAGCTACAGCCACAAACTCGGGGCAGCAGGCAGGAAGGTGAGAGGCCAGTTTGGGGAGTTCGTTGGGACATTAATAGGAAACAGGTGGCTGATGGCAGATTCTCACCTCAACTTATTTCAACGTCTTGTAAAAGTATTGAGACCAGGTGCAGGACATTGGTGGTGATGAGAGGGGGGGCTGAGTGGACAGAAAACTCTCTTTTTTGCTTATAACCTGATTGCCTGATGTAATTCACCACAGGGTCACACAGATGCTAGCTTCCCCAAAGGCTGGAGAAGATGGGGAAAAGTGGGTTTCAAAAACTGCAGTGCCTTGTTATTTTGGCCTAAATTACTCTTCAAATTTCAGTGTCAGGTAGATAGAGAAAAACATGCCGCATACCGAAGAATATTGAATTTAATGATATTTGAAACAGTACTTCTTCCAATAAATTGTGTGGATTTCTGAGGCTAACAGGTGTTCTGGAATCGAGGGTTTAGAAGTTGTAAAGACACACACTGGAGTGGGTTCTGGCAAACTGTAAACATTTTGTTAGGCAGGCCCATGTTTTGCTAATGAATCTTAGTGCTGCAGAGCTGTGTTAGCTGCATCTCACTGAGATATCACTTAGATTTAGCACAACATTCTTTAGGCCAAATTCCACCGGAACTAAAAATTTTGGCTGCAACCTAGAAGAGCAACAAATCCTGCAGAAATGCTAAAAATAGGGTAAACACTAATCTAAGGGTAGGCAGAACCAAACCATTGGTTCTAGAATGGTTGTGTCACCATTCTAGGGAGTGTTACTGGCAGGAAATCCCACTCCTGCTGAGATGTGGAGGGCTTGTGTCAGTCTGGCCAGGATTCCAGCCTCGAAGCGGCCCACGTGAAGCACATTTGGGCTTCTCGGTTGTCCCAGAGCTGAAGGTGTCCCACGGGCTGTGTGAGGCTTGCACAGCCGCCCCGCGGCCCCTCCTGGCTCCACGATCTCCCCACACCCCATCCAGGGGTGTCAGCAGGCAGCTCTGGCACTGTGTGCCCAGAGCAGCCTGTGCCACCGAGGATGGAGATTCTCCAGGCGTACCCCGAAGCAGGGTGTCTGCCTGTGGCTCAGAAAGCCACGTTCTGTGCTAACAAAAGCTGTCCTACACCTTTAGTGTGCAACACAAAGAAGACAAAACCGCAAACGTTAAAGTAAGACAAAGCCTGCTCCATGAGAAATGAGGAAACTCAACCAGTCACCTGAGAAACAAGGAGGAAATAAAGGAAACATTCAAAGAGATCTTAACATTTTATTACTATTTATGGTAACTCTGGCTTTATGCTGTATAGGCCTTGCCTAAAAAAAAATAATCTGGAAATGTGCAGCACTGTGTCTTGGAAACATGGACATGCATGAATGTTTTCCTGTATAGACACAGCTGCATTCATTGTGTGCACAGACGGTCGTGGATGTATCACAATGAACTTCGAAACACACTGTAGCTAAGGATTGATTGGAGGGAAACGAAAACCTCCTTCCTCAGCTGCTGCACTTCCAGAGAGAACGTATGGGTTCTACCAGTGACGTGTGGATTTCAGGGAGAGTGCCTGCACCTCTGTACCTGAAGAGCTAGGTAACATCTTAATGTACATTTCAACTACTGCTCAGCATTGGTAGGTGTTCGTACCAGTTGTGGGATAGGTCAGTGTAGAAATCTCACCTCACTCACCAAGGTCAATTTATGAAGGGTCTAAAACATGAAAATAAGAAATAGATATGAAATACACATGAAAATAACAATAATACAAAGTGTGCCTCATTACTTTGAGTCTCCAGAAAATACTACTAAACTCCTCAGAAAGTGCAATCACAGCTAATATGACAATACTGTATTAAGTTAGGAAAATGTAATTTTGTTACAGAATCAGTCATGTTACAGTAGTTCACAAGGAAATGTCTGTACAGCTGGTTGCTTTTTCCTCATTGTCCTTTGTCATGAAATTTCTTAACTGCTTAAGAAAGCAAATATATTTAATGAGTCATTTTTATGGCATATGTTATTTACAAAGGCCCATTATTGAACGAATATATTTACTTTTACAAGCATCACTTGGTCCCTTACCAACATGGCTCCAAAGTAAGTCATGCCTAAATGTTTGGTATGTAACCACATTATGTCAATAAATTTAACTTTCTCACTGAAAACACACAACCAGCCATGTCTTACCCACTTTGTTCTGGCCAAAAATAAGACTTTAAGATCTGCTGCTGAAGACAATGTGATACATTCACAACGTTTACCTCAACATGTGTAATTGCAGCACATCTCAGGGTTGTAATCTTGCAACCGCTGATTTATGTTTTCCCATTTTAACCACATGCTTTGTCCCACTGAAATCAGAGTGGTCATTCTCCATGTGCACCTGTGTAATTCCTGCATGCCCTCACACCCAGCTGCTGCTCCCACCCCTGAGTCACCAGGCACATCCTGGGTGCTGAGCCAGGCCCAAACATAAAAACACATATAAAACCAGCCTTTTACAGTGCACATTTATCACCTTTTCCTGCTGAAAGGCCTTGTTGTGCAACAACCTTAAACTACAGCATTAAATAACCCTAAAAACCCCAAAGATGATTTGTGGTCTGGAGCATCTCTGAGAGAATGTGGGAGCCGGGTCTGTTTAGTCTCAAGAAGGCTGAGAAGGGATCTCATAAATGCATATAAATATCTCAGAGGCCGAGATATTGGTGCCAGGCTTTTTTCAGTGCCCAGCCACAGGATGAGGAGCAATACACATCAACTAAAGCCCAAGTTCCGCCTCTCCGTGAAGATCTTCCTTTCACTGAGGATGGCAGAGCACCGGAGCAGCTGCTGCAGGCATTCCAAGCGCACCTGCGCCAGGTGAGCCTGCCTGGCAGGGCGGTCTGCGGAGCTCCCTTCCTCGGGGACCCAAGGGTTCGGGGCTGCTGTCGGAGCCCACTTCCCTGCGGCAGCGGAGACAAAGCGGGAGAGGAGCCGCACCCCGGCTTCCCGGCTCCGAGGGGCACCGCGAGGGGAGACGGGCCGGCCGCTCTGACAGACACCGCGAGGGGCCGCCCGGCCGCTCTGACAGACACCGTGAGGGGCCGCTCGGCCGCTCCGAGGGGCACCGGGAGGGGAGACAGGCCGGCCGCTCTGACAGACACCGTGAGGGGCCGCTCGGCCGCTCCGAGGGGCACCGGGAGGGGAGACAGGCCGGCCGCTCTGAGGGGCACCGCGAGGGGCCTCCTGCCCGCTCTGACGGGCACCGCGAGGGGCCTCCTGCCCGCTCTGACGGGCACCGCGAGGGGCCTCCTGCCCGCTCTGAGGGGCACCGGGAGGGGAGACGGGCCGGCCGCTCTGACAGACACCGTGAGGGGCCGCTCGGCCGCTCTGAGGGGCACCGTGAGGAGCCTCCTGCCCGCTCTGACGGGCACCGCGAGGAGCCTCCTGCCCGCTCTGACGGGCACCGTGCCGCCCGCCGGGGCTCCCTCACGGCCGGGCCACTTCCGCCCCGCCGCGCCCCACTCCGGCACATGACGGCGGGACGGGCGGAGTGACAGCGCTCTCGACCAATGGCAGCGCGCCGCTGCCGGGGGCGGGGCCGGGCGCCGGCGGAGTGGCAGCGCCCCCGGCCAATGGCGGCGCGGCGCTGCGCGGGGGGCGGGCCCCGCCGGGCGGGCCGGGAGCGCGGCGCGGCCGCGGCGGGGCCGGGGGGACGCGGGGCCATGGACGAGGCCGAGCCGGGCGAGCGCAGCCCTTTGCTGGGCAGCGGCGAGCGCGGGCGGGCGGCGAGCGGCGCCTTCCAGGGCCGGCGGCTGGCCTGCGCCGCCGTGCTGCTGGCCGAGCTGCTGGAGCGAGTGGCCTTCTACGGCATCACCTCCAACCTGGTGCTGTTCCTCAACGGGCCGCCCTACGGCTGGGAGGGCGCCCAGGCCAGCCAGGCGCTGCTGCTCTTCATGGGCATCACCTACCTGGTGTCGCCGTTCGGGGGCTGGCTGGCTGACGCCCTGCTGGGCAAGTTCGGCACCATCCTGCTCAGCATGGCGCTGTACCTGCTGGGCATGCTGGCCTTCCCCGTCATCGCCGCGCCGCACACCCGCCAGGGCCTCTGCGGGGACATCCCCCTGTTCCCCGTGGAGAACTGCTCCTCGCCGGCGGCCAACGCCACCCCGGCGCCCTGCTCCCAGGTGGGAGCCACCCGCTACTGCGCCACCGCCACCTTCGTGGGACTGGTCCTCGTGGGGCTGGGCGTCGGCTCGGTCAAGGCCAACATCACCCCGTTCGGGGCAGACCAGGTCCAGTATCGTCCGGCGGCCGCAGCGCTCGGGGGTGGCACAGGGGCTTGCCTCGGTGGGTGGGCAGTGCCCGAGCGACTGACCTCTCTGCAGGTGCTCAGCCTCGGAGGGACCGCAGCACCAGCTCTGTGCCCTGCGCACTGCAGCTTGTTCAGTTCGGCGTCATTTTGGTGCCTGTGCGGTGTCAGATCCCTTACCAGCCTTGCTTTCCTGGTTTTCCTGCCTTAGCTGTGGTGTCTGAGTTGGCTAAGCCATCGCCGTCTTGAGGACTTGGGTTGAATACTTAATGGCCATTAAGTGGACTGTTAATTGTCCACGCTGGTGAGTTTGTACCCAGTTAATTTGACCTCAGAGCTCATCAGATGAAGTACAAGACACACATTTTAGCTGTGACGAGGATGACATGGGCCTTCTAAGGCAGTGTCAGAGGCCTTTGCCTTTCTGTGGTAAAGGAAGGCTGCAGAACCGACAGATTTTCTCCTTCAGGTATTTGTGCACTGCACTGCCCTTGAGTGGCATTTCTGTGCAGGCTCGTGCTGCATCACATGATGGGGGAAGCTGCTCTGACCCTGGTAAACATCACCTGGCTGTTCCTAAGGACACAACCTGTCAAATGACCTCACAGGGACCCGCCACAGTGCTGTCATTCATTGGGTCATCACTGCAGAGCCCAGGGGCTGCACAGAACACACGTGAGAGGCGACCTGCAGCTCAGCAGCAACTGGAACGCTCTGCTACGTGTGCTTTTTTTACAGCCCTGTGCTAAGGCGGTGTGCTGGCTGTGGATGTTGAAATGTAATTTCTGCTTTACAAATGGAAAATTTCAATATGCTCAGGTACTGCTGAGCAGCTTTTCTAACTAAACTGAAAGTCCAGTTGCATGTCTGTTGGCTCACTGAGTTGTGGTTAGAGCAGTTACCAGAACTGCCATGAATTCTTTGAAAGAGGGAGAATCCACCACAGAATCATTGTCAAACATACCTCTGTTCTCTGTTGTGCAGTTTGCATTTGTCTTTCTTTGGCATTTCATGTATTCTAAATTCTGGGTAAAAGGCAGTATATAAATGTAAAACATTATTACAGCCCAGGACTGTGTGTCCCCAGTGCATTAGCTCTGCTTGAGCCAGCCTCAGCCCATCAAGTGAAATAGCTTTAATATGGCTTTATCTTGTAAGGTGTTTTTCAAAACTGACTGCTTATCCCCAGAACACTTTATGAAAGTTAAATATGGGAGATAAATAATGGCAGGAACAGAGCAAAAGAAGAACCATTGCCAATGGAAGTGTAGCTCTTGTAGCTGGATTTTGTAGAGGCTTTTCCCCTAGGATTTCAAAGAAAGCAGGTTTTGGCTGGGTTTGCAGATAATTCACAGTGATTTATGTAGGGTGAAGCAAAAGAAATACTCCTTTCTGGGCCATAATAATCAGTGGAGCTCTGCCGAGGTCTGAATTTTTCCCCTTCTCCCTTTTTCTGGCTTATCTCTTGTTAAATATACTACAGGATGCCACTTACCTTGGAGTGCAGTTTGGGGCCCTCTTGGGTGCCTTTTCCCTGCATAGGAATGTAGAAAACTGCTGAGGAGATGAGTATATATCTATATAGCTGTATATCTATATCTGTGTATATCTCTATCTACCTATCTGTGTATCTGAGAATAAAGTCCATCCCAGAGCCACATTCTTGGGAGGCCAGAGCACATTGTAGATGTGTTTTGGCTGGATTTGTGTGCTGATAAGATTTGTCCTCTTTCCCCAAAGGAAAGGATGAATTGTATATTACGTACTTTAGTTGGCACAGTCACCTTTCAAAATATTAATTACATTTAAACATGACCAAATGAATTTCTCAGCTTTAACGTGTGTATAGAATTTGGGTGGAGAGCTCTTGTACAATGAGAGGTTTCTTTATTTAGCAGAATCACTTTGTGGAAAATCGGAAACTGAATTGCAATACTTACTTTTCTCTGAAGTTGGAAGGTGTGGTTTCTAACTCTCCGTTGAGTGCCTGCGTTTAGAAGTGTTGTAGAGTTAGTGTTACTGTTCAGGAGCACACATAATCACGGTGCAGGTGCTTTTATTGGGAGCTCTGGGATCAGGGGTACAGCCCCAAATCTGACTCCAACATGGCTCTCGAGCTGAACGTATTTTATATTCTATCGTTATAGAAACTTACATATTAATTATTAAACTTATATTGTTCTATTGTATACATTGATCTTATTCAACCATTAGTTTCTCATGATGTTTTTCAAGCCTCTGACTACAGGTTCTCATGATTATTCTTATGATTAAACAGTAATTATGTTTAATTTCTAAACAATCATCACATCTAACAATTATATCATTTATCATATACTGGCTACACAGGTGCAGTTCTAGCAAGTACAAGGCCTATACTTTCCCAGGGTATTTTCCCAGGGCCTACTAAGCTTAATTTTCCTTCTAACTCCCCAAATCTCCATGATTTTAAAACCCTTTTACTATCATTGGATCAAGTAACTTCCACCAGTCAGTGTAGCAAAAAGAGTTCCTGCAAAGCTGGGACAGACAGCTTTTCTCAGCTGTGTTGCTCATGTTTTCCTCGAAGCTGCAGCCTGGTCCGTGGTGCTGCTGTAAACCCGAGGGGAAGGTTCTCAGAATGGTGTTTCTGCTCATGTGATCCAAAACCTGGCACTTTCCAGTTCCCCTTTCTGGTGCGAGTGCTTGCTGTCACTTCCTGTTCCTTGGAGCAGTGTGACTTTCTGCACTTGGGAAACAGCAGGGCTGTTGGTCACTCTTGTGAAAGCTGGCTCAGCCCCAGCACTGAAGCCAGAACAGCAGCAGACTCCTAATCTGGTATCAGCCATAATGGTTCTAATTATGGCTGGATCTCTTTCAGGGTTACAGCGATGAGAGGCCAGGTTTCACCCATGCTGTGGCTGCCCTCTGAACTGCCTTCACAGCCAATAAATCTATCAGGCCATGACTCCCAGAGATCTTCTAGCTCTGCTAAAATTCGTGGTTTGCAGTTGCTATTGGAAATTGCTGCTGTAAAGATGGCTTTAGAGTGATTTTCAGCTTTTATATATTTGTAGAGAGTAGATTTTCCAGCCTCTGGATAAGGATGGCAATGGGGAGCCACGTAAAAAGATTTGAAGGTCCCTGACTGCAACTTGCTTTGTTGTTGCTGCTGTCAAACTTCTTATGAGCCTGTGGACCTCGGAGGCTCTGCAGAGAACAAGTTTGAAACAAGTTGTGGCATTCACACAGGCAGTAATGATGGATGGGAGAGGAGCAGACTTTATATGTGGGCTTGCAGAATTTCAGTAATAAACTTTGACATTATGTAGCAGCAGAGTACCACTGTGGAGCTCAGCTACCCAGCTCTCTCAGATGATCTCAAAGATTAAGTGGTTGTCTGCAGTGATGGATAGGAGGGTCAGGATTCTGTAAATGTGACTGTACAGAACTCTTGTCATTGTACCTTCTTCTGTAGGCTAAGGACGAGGACAGGGCTCTCTGTTCCATCCCTGCTCTCTCATGTGGTTGCTCTCAGAGTTGACTGGGATGAGTTTGGGGGTGTTTGTCACATTTGTCACTTGTGACTGTCAGTTGACTGTAGGAACAAATGAAAACTGCTACTGGCAGGAACTTTTGAATGATCATGTTCCTTTCATGTGGGGTTTTGACATCTTCATAGTTCTTTGTCTTTGAGAAGATATCCCACCAGGTAGTTCAGTGGGACCTTTATTCAGTTATTAATGTTTGCCAGTTAAATGCCATAGTGGCATTTCAGACGTGGCTGTGATGTGATTTTTAGTGCAAATACATGCTTTGATAAAGAAGGAGGAAATGGATTCTTTGCACTGTAAGTCTGCAGTGTGTCTGTCCTCTGAGCACTGCCTTCCTTTTGGTCACTCTGTTACAAAAAGAACAGTGGAGATCGTGAAGGAAGTTTCCAGGAAGGGCCATGAACATGGTCAGTAGTTTCCAGGTGAGGAATCACAAATCACTCTAAATTTCCTATCCCTGAAAAGACAATAAAAAGGAAGATGTGACAGTGGTTTGTGGCAGCAGTGATCAGGGGAGAGAGGCAGCAGGGGACCAGCAATGGGATGGAGCTGGGCTATGACTGGAGCAGCAATGGGATGGAGCAGCAATGGGATGGAGCTGGGCTGTCCCTGGAGCAGCAATGGGATGGAGC